TTGTATCGTCGTATGGTACCTTGGGAGGGGTGGAGGGTAACTGCAGCAGTGCGGGGGAAAGGCACCGTCACGTGGCATGACATCATCAGGAGCAGAAGCCGAGGCAGAAACATCATCTTCACGTGGCTAGCACTACTATTACTACTGCTGGAACTGCTATACGTAGTAATACCAATTGCACGTCGTCTTTCTAACGAATCATGCTCCTCTTTGAGATATGCTGACGTGAGCCAGTGGCGTCGGAAGCGGCGCATCGCGCTGCTGGCGCTCCAAGAGCAACGGCAATGGCGCTGGTTCGGCGCTCGTAATGCTTTCAGTCACGGAAACCGCCGGCGGCGGTTATTATACTCGACGCTTCGTAATACGGTGTCGTAATATTCCAAATACGTAGATGGTGCGTGTCAGCGTCCCCAATATCTCTTCAGTACATCAATCTGTGAAGTATGCCGTCATTAGAGGGCTCTGATGCGGAATTTTGAGGCGCGTGTTCTATGTCCGTCACATCCGCTAGATGATGACACCCTCCAACAACTGCAGCTCTAGTGCTTCCGCTGCTGACAAATGACGCGTGCGCAGAATACCGTGTGATGAAACCAAGACACTGGGGAGTGTGACGGTGGTGACGGTCCATGAGTGGGATGTCAACAGACATCAGTGGTACCTAGTACGTACACTGAGAATTTCAGCACACTGTGCTCTGCTACTGAACGTTCAAGCCCCAGTGAGCATTCCTGCTGGAGAGAAGCAACCCCAGCCCCTTGCGCAGGAGGAGCAGCAAGGGGGAATGTCGGCAGCGAGTTCAAGGCTTCACGAAAAGTTCAGAAAGTTACGCAACCAATAGAATTCAGCGAATGTCTCATTGCTAAAGGTAAAGGAGGGGGGAAATCCCCCTTTGGGTGTGTGTCCTTCGGCACAATTTGTAAAGTTCATGTTTATAATTGAAATTTTAACAAATGGGCAAAGGTCGACCTGCAGTCTACGTTCTCGACTTCTGCTGGTCGGACCGCGCGATCACACTTCAATTCAGGCACATGGAACAACGATGGTCGACTAGCGAAGTTCGACCGTATAGAGTTGGGCCCGAGTCGCACCCAAACTTTGTAGGTTACCCGTAGGTTACCAGATCAGCCAATTGAATATGGATTTCGCGATCGGCCAGATTTTTTACCTCGCGAAGTTGTTTTCCGTGCCGCAATATTATCCACGTGGCAGTTGGCGAAGCCACGACATTGACAACTGTTCGGTAGTGCGTGCGATGATTTTCGTGGTCGCAGGTTTCGCAGATTCATCCGAAATATGCAAAGGTGAACACGTTTCCAAAAACGTGCTCGCGAACAGTAAATCGTAAGTTCGACCGGAGTTTAGTGTCATTGTTCGATTCCTTGATTTGGCCTATTGTTGACGAGGGTCGCGACTGTGAAAGTTTAAAAGAAAGAAGAGGGTTGCACTAGCAAGAATGAGGATACAAATAGCAAACCCTAGAAGGGTTGTACTCGCTATAGAGCACCCCACTACAGGCTAGAGCATAATATTCTGACACACCCCCATAGCCAAAGTGGGGTGTAATCAGCAGAGCAAGCAAAGCAGTACAAGCTCAGGGTGGATCACAATGTCACCACACATTCTGAGCACAAGTTCAAGAAGCAATAGTTTAAAGTTCACAATTATGAGCAAAGCTAGTGGTAGTCACAACGGGCAAGTGAGGAGGAGGAAAGAGACTATGAGAGGAGAGGAGGTAGTGGGCGGCAGCTGAAGCTGCTGGCACACGGCGCAACTGGAGCAACTGGCACACGGGCAACTGGAGAAACTGGCACACTGGCAACTGGAGCAACTGGCACACGGGCTACTGGAGTAACTGGCTCCGCGGCTAAAAGTAGCGGCAGACGAGCAACGGACTCACGGGCGACTGGAGCAACGGGCTCACGGGCGACTGGCGCAACGGGCTCACGAGCGACTGGCGCAACGGTCTCACGGGCGACTGGAGCTGCTGGCTTCACGGCGGCCACCCCCTTCAACCTCCCCAAACTATCCCACTCCCCCTGACACACACCCGCTGCTACACCGCTAGCTCCACTCCCCCTTCACCCCCCCTTAGTACCACTCCAACGGCTCCAACAAGTCCACCCCCCCTCAGCGGTAGCTGCAGCACAGGGAGACGGAGGAGGAGGAGGAGCAGGGAACGGCACACAGTGGCTTCACCCCCATACCCCTCACCCCCAAACCCTAATTCAGGAGAACGGGCTGTAGGAGGGGTGGGGCGCCAGTAGAAGCACGGGGGACAGCGGGGAGGGCAGGGGCAGCGAGGAAAGGGCCGCCCACGGGCCTGGCACAGCCGCCCGAACCGCGCGCAGGCGGCCCGAGCCGCGCGCGGGCCTGGCGCAGCCCGTATGGGCCGCGCGCTGGCCTGGCGCAGCCCGTACGGGCCGCGTCCGGGCCTGGCGCAGCCCTTACGGGCCGCGCGCAGCCTGTACGGGCCGCGCGCAGGCCACGACGGGCGACGGGGGGCGCGGGTCCCCGTCGCCCGTCGCAGCGCCTCCCGAGGGCGACGCGCCGAGTGACGGGGCAGAAGCCCGCCGCGCGCCTCGGGGCGCACAGCGGGCAGAGAACCGCCGCGCGCCACGGGGCGCACGGCGGGCAGAAAACCGCCGCGCGCCACGGGGCGCACGGCGGGAAGAAAAAACTGCCGCACGCCACGGGGCGTGCGGCACAGAGGGTAGCAGTGGAAGTTGCAGCGGAAGCAACGAGGTGGTGAGCCCACCCACAGGATCGATCCAAGGGGATCGACCTGCTCTGATAGCATGTGAAAGTTTAAAAGAAAGAAGAGGGTTGCACTAGCAAGAATGAGGATACAAATAGCAAACCCTAGAAGGGTTGTACTCGCTATAGAGCACCCCACTACAGGCTAGAGCATAATATTCTGACAGCGACCTATCTAAACAAGATTAGCGAAGCGGGTAACCAGATAACGAATCTTTTTTCGCACTCTGGCCAGCAAGGACACACGCCCTAATCCGCCTACCCACTTGATTACACACCTCGCTGAGTACACCTAACCACTGCTATTTTTTTTCGGTCTATTTTCAACCCCACTTGCACAAGTGGGGTATGCACCCTTTCTAAATCTTTGACCGAGGGTTGTGTGGGGCATCATTAAATTTTAGCGAGAGTCTGTTCCAGATCCCCGAAGAGAGTGCTGTAGAAGTGGCGCTATGGATTCAGATTCGCATAATGAGTTTAAACTTCGAGCATTAGGCGTCATTCATAGCCCCAGTCATCTAAGTGTCGAACTGAAATAGTCGAAAACGTGCAGGGTAACTTTGAAACGCGAGATTAGTGGGTTGGGTTTCCCCTTGAAAATAGCGGTGGTTAGGTGTATAGAGGTAAGGCATATCCACTCCCAGATGAGCAGTGCGAAACCCCCTTCTGGGGGGCTGGCGGAACTCGCCGGCACCGAGGTTTAATCCCGCAACCTCATCATTCGGAAGTCGAATCTAACTTGACAGGGCCACTTCTGGATCATTAAATTCGGAGTTACCTTCAGTAAGAAGTGTTGATTGGTTGACTTTACGTACGTTCTTTTATATTTTTTATCAAAGATACAATGGAAAGCACGAAGTACATCAACAGTCGTAACGTTTGAGAAAGGGGGCACGACGTTGGATTTTCCTGAAATGACACTGACAGCGGCTGTGCTCCGGCAAGTTTGGCTGGCACGATGTGATGCGGCATGACGTGCGACCCCTTCCGAACGGAAGAAAGTGGGACGTGGCGCAGTGCTGGATTTCATGACGCATGCGAAGGCGGTGCTGGCATCCCGAGGAAAGATAGCACCAGCAGGACAGGTGGACAGTGTTTGTCAAATGAGTACCCGGTTTTGGCCTGCCCAGAGCCTTCCAATCTTCCCAAGCCGATGCAGTGTACCGGCAAATGCAACACGTCCTTAAAGATCCAAGGATACCTTTAGAACCAGCCATTAAAAAAAAAATAGGGATAGTTTGTTCAGAAGCCCATCAATTCTAGACAGGACCAGCCCGTAGTCTCTAAGAAAAATAGAGAAAACCCCCTGGATTTGACAGACCTTTGCGGAGCCGTCTGTTGAAGTCGAGTCGCGCGCAACGTCTTGGAAAGGTTGCAAGCGTTGTCGAACACTGTTGGCTGTGGGACGGTTCATCAACCAAAGCATATCTCGATCGATGCCGTCGTCGAGCGATGAAACCACGCAAGAATGACCTTGCCAACGACATCATTCACCATCTTGTGTATGCTGCCACCACACAACCACATTATTTGATTGTGGTAACTCTTTTCCCTTTTTGAATAGCCTCCGAGCACAGGTAAATTCCAAAGACCCGCTAGTTCTTTTGGTTTGCCTGCAGTTCTTGAAATCACCTGCTTCCCTGGATTTTTTTTTGTGAACAGTGTTAAACTTCACCTGTCTCGAGTTTCCCGAGCAGCAACGACAAGATTGTGTGGCTGCAATTTAGGGCGCTTCCTTTCCACCTAATCCACCTTAGGACGTGGGCCCAATCGAGTTTGATCGCGACTGATCTGATCGGATCGGAACTGGTCGGGTTGCTTGTGATCGCCTGTTCCCGAGCCGCCCGATCAGAGATGTTTTTCTTGGAAGCTTTTCAGCGCCTGCTTAGCAAGCGCATAACATTTACTTTATTATCGACCCGTATAAGTCATTCAAGAGGTCCCGTTATTATGGACCCGTATAAGTCAATCACGAGGTCACTCATATGGGTCAAGAGGCAAGCAGAGGCATGGGAGGGCAAGGGGGGCAAGAGAGGGAGCTGCACTTTCAGTGACTTGCCACTCTAAGAGGAATCGCTTCTGTTTGTAGTTGTGGGGTGGCTTCGGAGTGGTTGGTGTCCCCACACTTTAGCCTTTCTCAGTGTGCAACCTCTTAGCCCCCGTCCCTAACCCTCTCACCTTCCCTCCAATTATCCTCCTCCCCTTCCCCTCGCTCTTCTCTTCTTGAACCTCCACCGAGGCAGTCCCGGGCGACCCCTGTCTTCTCCAGGGCTTTAAATTTGACCGGGAGGACTGGCCGGCCATGAACCCGTGCGGGCGCTTTGACTGCCGCGCCAACACGCGCCGCACCGCTTACACATGCAACTGCAACCTGCCCCGCCCTGGGCCCCAGCCGTTTGTGGAGGTCGCCAACGCGGACGCCTCGCGCACCTGCGCCTACAGTGGGTTGGTTGGGGTCTCTTGTTGAGCTTGGGAGCTGGGCTCGCGCACTTTGCACACGTGCAACTGCAACTTGGAGCGCCCCGGCCCCCAGCCCTTTGTGGATGCTGCCAATGCGGATGCCTCACGCACCTGCGCCTCTGGTGGGGTGTGGGGGTGGGAGAGTGGTGATCTCCTGTGTGTGTTAGGTGGTGGTTGGCTGTACTGTGCTGTGTGGTGTGGTGGGGTGCTGTGCTGTGCTGTGCTGTGCTGTGATGTGCTGTGATGTGATGTGATGTGCCGTGATGTGCTGTGATGTGATGTGCTGTGATGTGCTGTGATGTGATGTGATGTGATGTGATGTGATGTGATGTGATGTGATGTGATGTGATGTGATGTGATGTGATGTGCTGTGCTGTGCTGTGCTGTGCTGTGCTGTGCTGTGCTGTGCTGTGCTGTGCTGTGCTGTGCTGTGCTGTGCTGTGCTGTGCTGTGCTGTGCTGTGCTATGCTGTGACCACTGAGGTGCAGACAAGAGGCATGGAGAGTGGGTATGGATGTGCGCGGATGTGGGCGTGGCTATGAGCTTGAGCATAAGCATGAGCACAGGCAGAGGCATGGGCTGGCTGCGACACAGGGATGGCCTTTCTCCTGCCTATCCCGTTGCATTTCCCCTTCCCTTTCCCCGTGCCTTTTTTCTTTCTTTTCCCCATTGCCTTTCCACTTGCTTCCCCTTACCTTTCCTTTTGCGTTTCCCATTGCCCTTCCCCTACTTTCCTTCTGCGCTTCCGCCTGCCTTACCCCTTGCCTTTTCTCTTGCCTTTCCACTTGCTTTTCTTCTTGCCTATTCTTTGCCTTTCCCTACGCGTTTTCATTTGCCTTTCCCAATTCTTTTTCATCTAACTCTCCCCTCACCTTTCCCCTCACCTCCCCCCTCACCGTTCCCCTCACCTTTCCCCTCGCCTTTCCCCTTGCCTTTCCACCTCGCCTTTCCTCATGCTGCTCATGTGTCTGACCTCACTCTTGGAGAAAACTTCTGGGAATACAATCAGCCCTGCCTGCCCCCACACTCTCTCCTGTTGCATGCTCCTGTGCAACACCCCCAGTGGACGTGTGCGGATCCTATACCAGCAACCCCTGTGCCGTGGGCACATGCATCAACGATGGCAAGGGCTCCTACTCCTGCATCTGCCCTCCCAACTACGCTGCCAGCTCCACCATTGACAACTTCCCCACCTGCGGCCCAGGTACTTACTTATGCCTTTGAGTCGACCCAGAAGTGGCCCGGCTACTGAATCTCCCCCTCCCCGTGTGTCACCTGCATCTGCCCTCCCAACTACGCCGCCAGCTCCACCATTGACAACTTCCCCACCTGCGGCCCAGGCACCTCTCTCCATCCCCATGTCTTCCCTTCCTGCATATTTCATCCTCATCTTCCCTGGTACTTACCTAAGCTCTGCCACACCACTTATTCCATTCTATCCCTCCCTTGCACTCCACCACTATCATCTCCCTCCTGCCTTTCTCTTCCCATCTCGAACTCCCTCTCACCTTCTCCCCTCCCCTCCCTGCCTTCCACTTGCCTCTCTTTCTCCCTCGCAGCCGACGTGACAGCAACAACAGTGGCAGTGGGAGCAGACAACTGGCAGTGTGCGGACGTGCATCCTATCATGGGGCTCACCCTTTCCATCTTCACCACTCTCAACAAGGTGAGTCTCGAGGTGCATTAAAGCTCATCTCACTCCATGCAGTGTGAGTCTCACTCCATGCGTGTGAGTCTCACTCCATGCAGTGTGAGTCTCACTCCATGCAGTGTGAGTCTCACTCCATGCAGTGTGAGTCTCACTCCATGCAGTGTGAGTCTCACTCCATGCAGTGTGAGTCTCACTCCATGCAGTGTGAGTCTCACTCCATGCAGTGTGAGTCTCACTCCATGCAGTGTGAGTCTCACTCCATGCAGTGTGAGTCTCACTCCATGCAGTGTGAGTCTCACTCCATGCAGTGTGAGTCTCACTCCATGCAGTGTGAGTCTCACTCCATGCAGTGTGAGTCTCACTCCATGCAGTGTGAGTCTCAGTCCATGCAGTGTGAGTGTGCGGGCAAATCCCGGTTTCTCCACGTGCATCCAGTCATGGGGCTCACCCTTTCCATCTTCACCACACTCAACAAGGTCAGAGAGGTTCTACTGGAGGCTCAAGTGGAGGTTCAACTGGAATGGCGCCTACTGGGTCTGTTTTATCATTAAGGGTCAGTTGTTTATGAGTTGGGAGCAGTCAAATGTGCCGGCGGGGGCATGAAATGCTGGTTGTGAGCATTTGCCATGTCCATGAGGAGATTTGAGGTGACTTTTGAGTCAACTAAAAAGTCACCTTGCTGGTTGTGAGCATTTTCCATGTCCATGAGGAGATTTGAGACAGCCTGAAAAGCGTTTTCCACACCCTGCCACCCATGTTAGGTGTCTTTTCACCATTCCCACCCTTCAAGCTTCTTAATGTCCCCTCCTTTTGCTATTGCTTGGCCTGCTTTGTTTCTGAACACTGCAGGGCATTGACTGCAGCAAGCCGCTGAAGAGAGGCACAACACTGAATATCAAGCCCCCTTCACCCATTGTTGCCTGCACCACCTTTTTCTTCACTGTGAACGTGAGTCTCTTTGGTGGTCTCTTTGGTTTTCGTTGCACGAACCTGTCGCAAAGTTAAAGCCGTCGGCCCAAGCTGTTCATGTTCATTTATGGGGAGGGGGTTCATTTGTCTAGGTTGTGGCGAGAGTTTCGATTTCGTCAAATTCGTGTTTTTCGCCAAACCCAGCCACGTCAATAGTTCCAAATTACAGGTGAAGTTCTTTCAAGTTTGTACATTCCTCGATATCAACTTTTTTAACCCGCACGCTCCACAATTTGGGCCGCGGGCTTTAAGGGTTTTAAGGGTGTCCTTGAACGTGCCTGGGCTATGCATGACAAAGAGGGAGATTGTTTGTCTGATTTATTTTCCGCACTGGGAGAGCAAGCTGAGTGCATTGGCCCGGATGAACACCAAGCAACAGCATGCACCGGTGTGCCTCTGTTCTGAACACAGTATGAGAATTCTCCAATAAACAGTTTTGAGAATCTTTCAAATAAGCTGCGTTTGAAAAATTGCACGTACAGCGAGAAACGCAATGCATCTATCTGCCTCTATCGTTGCACACCCAAGCTGACGATCCCACCCACCCACCTCCTCCACACACACACCATCCCCACAGGGAGATACATGTGACTCCATAATCAATCACGTGCAAATGGCAACCGACGGCACCCTTGCAACCCTCAACCCCGGGGTTGACTGCTCCAAGAGCCTCTCTCCCGGCCGCTCTCTGTGCCTGGAGCGCAATCCAGAGCTTGTGAGCACGGCGCCTGTGTGCTTGCAATACGCGATGCTGACAGCGCAGGAAACGTGCGAGCGGCTTCTGAAAGGGTCTGTTGCCATAGTGAATGCGGCTGCGTGGGCCGCTCTCTACCGCAACAACCCCGGCCTCGTCTGCTCCAACACCATCCCTGGCTCTGCTTCGGCTGCTGGGAGCAACACTGGTGTGCAGGTGAGAGGGCAGGCGGAGGGCGGGTGAGCGCAACGCTCCTGTTTGTTATGTTTTTTTGTCATGCGTTGCTCCTCACGTGCTCTTTCAATTGGTGTGTTTTTTTATCACGGTTCACAACCCAGGTGTGCCTTCGAGCGGAGTATTGGAATTTTCAGATTGGTGCGTGTGTGAAGGGAAAGCAAGAATCAATCAGCCCAAAAGCAACGTGCTCATCTGTCCTGCTAAAATACTACGATAATAATGCATTGCTGTACAAACAGTACAATGGCAACCAAGCATGTGCTGGAACTGTGGGAGGCAGCTCCACCCGGCGCACAAAAGTGTGCGTGCCTCGTTAGTCCTGGCGGTACGCCTTGGCCCTTGGCTTCCATACTAGGCCATTAATCTGTAAACACTTTCCCGTAAAAGAGGCATGGGTTGCAGTACTATTTTACTGTATGTGCCAATGTGATGCAACTTTTAAAAACCCCATTGTATGTTTTGTTGGATACGATACGGTTTCCTGCCCCGGTTTTTAGACGGTTTTTCGATTTTCATTTCTAGCTTGATAAGCAGCAACAACAGCGACGGTTTTTCATTTCTGGCCTATCGCACTTACCGAAATCCCCAATACTGTACCTCCTGTCTTGTCAGTTCAAAAGGCCCAAGTTCAGCCGTGCAGGGAAAATCCAACATCCAGGCGCCGAGTCCACCCCACCCAACTCCCAGGCCGAGCAACCTCTTGCCAGCCTGGCACCCTTGTTTCCCTCCTGCCCCGAAGTTGTCGTGGCGGTCCTGCCGTCGTGAGGAGAACTGCCATCATGAGGGGGACTGGAGCCTGGGATGTTGCGGAGGGGGCCGGAGAAGGCTGGTGGTGGCGGTGAGGTGAGGTGAGGTGAGGAGGGGGAGGAGACTGCAAAATTTCACGTCAAATTCTAGGCGGTGTTTTCCTCCAGGGCCCACCCACCCAGCCATGCCTAGTTTCCCGAATCCCAAACCACACCAGCCAGCGCCTGGCCTGTTTCGTTTCGAACGCACCCAAACCCACCAGATCCCAACCAAAACTGCTGTAACTCGCTCAACTCCGTGGCAGGACCGGAAATTCCGCTGACATGAAAACTATCACGATCTGCCCCACCCATCCATGAGCAGCAAGGACCAGTTATGTTGGAATTCCATCAGCCATTTGGGGGGTTGATTCCACTAGTATCTCATAGAAGATGGGACGATAGAACATACTGGATGCAGTTCGACAATCCCTAGGACGCTTGCGCCCTCCGTTCACTCAGGTAGATTCCACCAGCTTTCGCTGTTTCACTCTCGCAAACCACGACTTCTGATCCGTTAGGTCAAGCATCTCTTCGTCACCATGGTTGCCAGACGGACAAAGAATTCGCGGTTTGCGTTTCTCTAGCGGTGTCTCGGCGAGCGATCAAGTGAGTGCGCTACTGCTTACTGTTGAGTTGAATCTACTGCGTGTTACAGAGGAGTATTAAAGCGGCACGCACATCTCGTCGTTTGTCGCTTTACTTCGCCGTCCCCGCTTATCAACCACCACCTATCGTTTCCCCACTTTTCCGACTCCTCCGAATCTTCGCTCATCCGCAACACTTGCATATTCCACCCTGTTGCTTCGGGATTCAAGGCCAAACGACACGTCTCTGCGTCCCTCTCATCTGTAAATAGCTGTTCTCCGCGTGAAGGAGCCCTGCCCGATTGGTTATGGCGGACGTTTCGTCTGCGTCACCACCGCTATCGACCGCGTTGGCCGGATCCCAAACTTCAACCACCGCCACTACCACCAGTGCTGTGACCAGCGTTACCGTTAGTCCCGACGCCGACGTCGCAGGGTCGTCTGCTAGTTGCAACGGCGATGCTGCGTCGCAGCCGCCCAGCGTCGCACGGGAAGGCGTCGCATCTGCGAAGGGTTCCTGCGACGACGGCGAGTCGGCACCTGCACCGTCGGATCTAGTAGACGGCACCCCTGCACACGCGCCGGCCGGCGCGCACGGGGGAGCGGAGGGGCATGCACAACGGGGGCAGGCGGAAACGGAAGGAAGCGGGGGCAAAGGAGCGGTAAGCGCAGTCGCTGTGGCGAGCGCAGAAACGTCTGATAATACATCGGCGGATGGCGGAACAGAAACAGTGCCGGCGGCGGTGGCGGTAAAGGGGACTGCGGAGGGCGTAGCGGCGGGAGGGGGGGTGAGAGAAGGTGGGGGAATGGAGGAAAGAGAGGATAAAACAGAGCAGGAGCAGGAGCAGGAGCAGGAGGTGAAGGATGAGGATGATGAGGAGGAGGAGGCAAAGGAGGAGCAGAAGGAGGAGGATGTAGTGGCGAAATTCAGTTCCGCTGCTGCGTTCGTAGAGGCGGGGTTGCAGGACGCTGCGGACGACTCGTGCAGCATATGCCTTGACGACTTCACGTCCGACGAACCGTCCACCGTGAGTGCTGCTCGCGCACAGTTATTGCGCGCCGTTAGCGCGCACCGTTAGGGATGGATTCTCGGTAGGGTAAACGTGTACGGTGTAGTTACCGTGGTGTGAATGAATGTAACCAGCTCGGAGTTTTTCACGCGCTTCTGAGTCCTGACTACCCAAGGAAAGCGCCGGACGTGAGTGCGTTTGGGACGATTCACACGGATTGGAGGGACCGAACGATCCTGCGAACTGGTTGAAACGAATGAGGGAATTCCGTTGGCGCGAGGGTCGATTGAGAGGTTGGGAGGCCGAACCTGTTGCAGTGCGGATTCGTACGGATTGGTATGGATTGGTACGGTCTGGTGCAACAGCAGCACGACGGCTTGAGGTTGAGAGAGTGTGTTCCGCTAACTTGGTCTAGTTGGCACCCCGAGGTACCTATATGTGAGGTACTGTGTGTGAGGTACTGTGTGTGAGGTACTGTGTGTGAGGTACTGTGTGTGAGGTACTGTGTGTGAGGTACTGTGTGTGAGGTACTATGTGTGAGGTACTCTCTACCCCTTCACCCTAAGACGAGAGGAATCGAACATACGTTGGCAGAATTCACAAGGCAGGTGGGGTAGTGTTTGCTGACATTGGCGATTTGACTGCGTCCGGCGCCCTGGTCGTCATGCTTGTATGTGGGGGAAGGTTTTGAAGCAGTGGCTTGATGGAGTAGGGGGATCTGTGGGGGCGAGGGGGAGAGCGCGTGGAGTGGGGGGAGTGGGGGGATTAGTGAAATGGATTCGAAGATATTTCGGCTGAACAAGTGAGTGCGATTGTGATTGGAATGATCTTGAATTCATCCCCCCTACTCCGTTATCCCCCTTTCCCTCGCGCCCCCTTCGCCCCACCTCCCTTCGTGTCTCTTCCCCTTCCTCTGTTGCTCTCCCCTCACTTCCTCTCCCTCTTCCCCCCTCCTCTCCCGCTCCTTTCTCTATTTCCCTCCCTCCCTTCCTCCCTCCCTCCCTCCCTCCCTCTCTCGCTCGTCTTCTCGCTCCTCTCTATTGTTGCTCCCTGCATGTGCAGCCGACAACGTGCAACCACCACTACCACCTGCAGTGCATCCTCGAATGGTATGGCGTGCCTCCACTTCAATTCAGTAGGAGGAGGGACGGAAGGCACACGGGGGGCGTCCCAGAGGACACTTGCACTGGGAAGATGAGGAGAGGCAGTAGGATGTGGGGGGAAGGGGGAAGGGGCGAAAGGGTGAAAGGAGCCCTTTTAGGGTGTGGGAAAAGGAGGAGAAGGTGGGGGCAGGAGCGGGAGGGTGTTGGGGTTTTAAAGGGGAAGTGAGTGCGGGGTAGGTGCAGCAAGCCGGGTTTTAGGTATGAAAGGCGAGTTTTGTGCGAGCAAGGCCTTGTTGAGGCTCCTCAGAAGTTGTCTCACACTGTGTGTGTATGTGCGTGCGTGTGTGCTTGTGTGTGTGCGTGCGTGCGTGCGTGTGTGTGTGCGTGCGTGCATGTGTTTATGTCTGTGTCCACGTGTCCATTCTATCCAGGGCACAGCGCAGCAAGGACTGTCCCATGTGTTGGCGCACTCTAGTGCTCAAGGACCCTGACAGGTGCGGTGCGCGTGCACGTATACATGTGTGTGTGTGTGTGTGTGTGTGTTTGACTAAGCGAGTTGCAGTCGCATGCACGTGTGTCCATGCATGTAAGTGAGCAGAGCATGTTGCGCTCTCATATAAGGGCGCTCATTGCATGCCTCCCCGCACCCTGACACTGCCTTCATCTGCTTTCGACTTGAGGGGATGGGAGCATTCCTGAAGCGAGCTGCACAAAGCACACTCTCCCCATAAGCACTCTCCTCATTAGCTCCTTTCACCTTCGTTCTGCTCCTGTCAGCCTGATGTTAACCCAGTGGATTCTTTTTTGCTTTCTGTCCACGTCTGATTTCTGTCCACGTTTCCAGGCCTTTTCTGGGCCTTCCACCCACGCTTCTGCTCCCTTTCCCCTTTCTTCTGCCTCCTTTCTGGATCACACACACAAGCTCCACTCCCTCTTTCCACCCTCCTCCGCTCACAGTCAGGAGCTGCTAGAAGCGTGTGCAGCAGAGAGAGCGATGAGAGCACAGCAGGCAGCAGCGGCGGCGGCAGCGTCGTCGCGCATGCACATGGGCAGGGCTGCTCTCGAGGAGTTTGCAGCGCTGCAGCAACGGGTCGGTGCTTCCTTCTGCTTTTGCTGCTGCTGCTGCTGCCGCCACTCCTGCTGCTGCTTTTTGCCTGCCGTTCCTGCTCCTGTTCCTTTTATGTTCCTCATCCTCCTTGTTTCTTTGCTCCACTTGCCCTTTACAACAAGAAACGTCACAATGCCCTCCTTTACCCCTCCCATCCACCACTCCTTCCCTCCCTTCTCCCTCCCCTCCTCCTTCCATTCCTTTGTACGCCCTGATTCCCTCGCTACCCTTGGCATGTCCTCCCATTTGATTTGCATGCCTCAGCTTACACAGCTGACTTTGGAGGCGCCTCAAGTGGTTCTCTCAACCCACCATGCCATCCCCTCCCATCTGATCTCTGCACCCCTCAGCTGGCAGAGCTCTCAGAAGATTCAGAGCTGGAGAGGCGAATCCTACAGCACCTGGCGGCCGGAACAGCAGCAGCAGCGGGGTTTGAGACGTCCCAAAACTGGTTCCCACCCTACCATGCCATGTCCTCCCATCTCATCCCATCTCCTTCCCTCAGCTGGCAGAGCTCTCAGAGGATTCAGAGCTGGAGAGGCGAATCCTACAGCACCTGGCGGCCGCAGCAGCAGCAGCGGGGTTCTCCTCTCGATCCGCGCACCAGTACCTGCACCAGCACAACCACCGCCACCACCACGGGTCAGAGCGCCAGCAGCAGCAGCGCCTGCGCCAGCACCTCCGCCAGCAGCAGCAGCTGCAGCAGCAAGGGGAGGACGAGGAGGCTGGAGGCAGCCCTGGCGAAATGGCTCTTCGCCCAACCAGGTCGGCTGGCTCGGGCGACCGGATTAGGTTCGGCGGCAGCAGCGGCGGTGCTGGTGGGATTTATTTTGGGGAGAGCCGGCAGGAGGAGGGCGGAGGTAGCCTGACACCTCCGAACGCGTTTCTGTCGGCTTTTACACGCTCGTCCAATGCGCTTTCTCTTCAGGACATGGATGGTAGAGCAGCGGATCAGGGTGCAGGAGACAGGGGGGAACGAGGCGGAGGGGGAGGAGGAGGAGTGGTGGTGACTGGGTTCGGTAGGGGAGGGCCTGGAGCAGTGGGAGGTGTCAATTCCTCTACCACTTCCTCCTCCTCCTCAAATCGCTTCTCTGCCACGCTCTCCTCTGCTCTCCCTCGCTCGCAATCCGCCCATCCAGGCACTGCCCCCCGCACGGTCTCCCCTCCCAGCCTCGCCGCAAGCCTAGCGCGCAGAGCAGCGGGGCAGGGGTCTGGGAGAGAAGGCAGAGAGGGCAGAGAGGGCGGAGGGCAGAGTGCGAGGGAGGGCTCGGGATGGCCGTCGTCCTTCTCCCTCTCGGGACAGGGCGCAGGGGCTGGCGGGGGGGGCAGTGCACGGGGAGGCGGGGGAGGGGGAGGGGGACGGGACGGTGGTTTTTCGTCTGGGGGGTCGTCGGCGGCGGCAGCAGCGTCGTCCTCTTCAGGGTCGGGGTCGTTCCTGTCGGGCCCTGCTTCCAGTGCCATGTCCGCTTTCGCTAGCCTTGCGGCGGCGCTAGGCGGTGGTGGTGGGGGAGGAGGGGGAGGAGGTGGAGGGGGAGGAGGGGGCGGTGGAGGGGATGGGTCTAGTGGTGGGGGAGGGGGAGGGGGAGGGGGAGGTGGTGGTGTGGGTTCATGGTTCTTTGGCTCGTTTTCTCAGTTGGGGAATCGGTCGCAAGGGGGAGGAGGGGGAGGGGGAGGAGGGAGTGGGGGAGGTGGGTTTGGAGGAGGAGGGACAGGCGGATTCGGAGGTGGCCGATCAACGAGTCAAGGCACGAGCACTCAAGGGTGGGGAGGATGCACTGTTGAACAAACTTAAACTGCACTGCACAGCTCTGTACTGAGTCACACAGACTTGCTTACTCTCCCTCTTTTTTTTCTTTAACATTTATTTTAGGCCTGTTTTACGCTGAGAGGCATTGGTGCTGCTTCTACCAAGGGTGGTTGCTGGCGCTTCCAATGTCGGAGTGTGGTTTTCAATGTCTGCGAATCACCCTTAGACGACACCTCTCATTGTGTTTGGCGTGTGCCTCATTCATCCGTATGTATGTGCATGTGCGTGCCTGCATGCACGCATGTGTATGCACTTTCAACGGATGCACGAATGTGCATGACGGTGCACCTCTCACATTCCTGGGGGCACATGTGACCATGACCATACATGTTCATATGCACACACATGCCATCCATCTCCATGAGTCAACCATTTAACCACTCATTCCGATCCTCTCATGTCTGATCCGCTGTGCCTTGCAGCACATCCCGTTCAACCCACTCGCCTCCATATACCTCCTCTCAACGGTCCAGCCGACCTTCTCCCCGCACACTGTACGCTGCACCTGCACCCCAATCTCCTGTCTATCTGTTGTATGTTTTTTGTCCTTGTAGTTTGACATACCGTTTCTGAGTCTTTCAGTCAGCCATTTAGGGCGCTATTCCCAAGCACTGAAGTGTTTTGATGGTTAATCGCAGTGTACCCTTTGTTTTGCACGATGGCGTGGTCTCGTGTGCGGTTACTCTCTCACATAAATCGCAGCCCAGAAGACCAACCATTATCTGCGCAACCCCAATCATTCTGCACACTCTCCCTCTCCCCCCTCCCCTCCCTCTCTCTATCTCTCTCCCTCTCTCTGCTATCCTCCCTCCTATGTTCCACCATCAATGCTGCTCCTTGCATGGCCAGCACTCATCCTCCCCGCCACCACCCCAGTCCATGACCATGTCGGAACCAATATACCCGACTCGCCCTCTTCCCCTCACTGTACTCCCCCCTCCAATGCTCCACCGTCAATGCTGTTGTTTCTTGCAGGGCCAGCACGCCCTCGTCCCCACCACCACCCCAGTCCATGACCATGTCAGAACCCGACTCGCCCTCTTGCCTGCCCTCCGCTGCTGCTGCTACAGCAACCTCTCCTGCTCCTCCTACTCCTGCAGCTGCCACCGCCTCCGTCAACTCCCCTGCCAGTCCTCCTCCTTTTCTCACCTCCCAGCATGTAACTTCGCCGCCAACTCGGCCCGGTGCCTCCTCCCCCTCTTCTGCTACTCCTCCCGGTCGAAATGGCTCTGCTTCCCCACAGGGCTCTTTTCTCCATCTCTCCCCCGCTGTTGCTGTTGCTGATGCTTCGTCGTCTGATGCTCCTGCTGCTGCAGGGATGGGCAACACCAGCACGTAGACACATGAGCGTGATGCGGTACGGGGATGCAAAATACTGTTTTCCTCGTGACTCACTCTCCCCTCCCTCGTCCGCTGTCTTATCCTCTGGCCCTCTTTTTCGCCCTCTTGCTTCACATGCACACAATTCCAGCATTGCTGCTTGCGATTGGAACCTCAATACACATTCTCTTTGAGCACTCCTGCATTGTCATCTACTTTGCTCTGTCTCACGTTCACACGCACTTCATACCTGTGCAGGCATGCAGGTGCCAATGTCTCTCTTGTTCTCGACGCCTGCCGTGTTTGTGGCAGGAAAACCCAGTGACCACAGTCGTGCCAGTGGTGGAATTGTTACCACAGGGCTCCTTGTGTCGTCAGTCAAGCACTATTATGTGCCCATTTATTGAGTGGCTGTCACAAAACATTTGAAACGACGGCTGGTAGTTTCTGGACCTGTGCACCAACTTTACATGTTTTGTGCACGTCTGGCTATGGCCACCACACCACACTTCTGTTATCTTTGTATAATCAGTCCTGGATTACGCCTTCTGTCTATTACGTCTGACTATGGCCACCACACCACTCGTTCGTTAGTTTTGTATAATCGGTCTTGGACCTCCTGATGGCACATCAAAACTGGAATTGGTCGATTGCATTTGGATACTACCGAAGATATTGCTATTGAGGGTGTACGCTTCAGTTGCAGCCTCTTATACTGTACAAGAAATGGATAGTCTTCGTCGGACAGAGCCTCGCAGAGTGGACATGACGAATTCCGTCAGACTAGACAGACCAGGTCAGGAGAGAAAGATGTTCAGTCAGTTGGCTGCATGCGGTGAACTAGGCTGCTGTTTGCTGTTTGGGTGCCCCACGTGTTCCGCGTGGCCCCGGCCAATGCCGTCGCTTCTTCCCTGGCAAATCTCAAATTCCAATCAACCCGCTTCCTGCCCGCCCCACGTGTTGTTCCTTCATGCTTCCTCCGCCTTCCGCTTGTCGTCCCTCCTTTCCGTGCCCCCCGCTCCTCCCTACCACTTCATTCGGTCCGTGCCCCGGCCATGGATACTATCCAGGCAGCTTCGGATGCAGCAATGTCATGCAATTTCTTGCCTGATGGAAGTTCTAAACTGACCGCTGGATACCTCTCGCGGAGCTCTATAAGCAGATACCTTTTCCGTGTTCAAACAGTGAACATTTATCGAGCTTATGAACATCCGTTTTCCCCAAGGTTCAGGACAACTTCCAGAAAGCTTGCATGGCAGGACTGTAATCTCAAGGACTGTAACCTCAATGTTTCTGCTAACAACATCGGTTCTACCATCTCTGTTGCTACTACCAAGGGTCGCGCTAATCTCAAAGCGTGGCTTTGCTGTGGTTTCTACAAGAGATATAAGAAGTCACACCTGCTCACAAGGTTTCACAAGTTCATCTTTCAGGCCTGGAAAGCACGACGCTCCTCTCTTGTTTCGCTTTGGAAGCACTCATCTTGCGCCATGCCTCCTAAGAAGCCGGCCAAGGCAGCTCCTAAGGAGGTTCTGGATCCACTGGTGCTACCCAAGCATGCGGAGTCATCTCCTCAGGCTAATGCACCGGTTGAGGATGCGCTTTTGACTCCTCATCAACCTTCTACGGAACGACCTCTGTCGCTGGATGCTGACCCGATCCAGCCATCCTTGCATGATCGGCTGTCAGCGCTCAAGGTTAACGGGCTCAAGGATGAGGCTGGGAAGTCGACAGCTGATAACGCTGCAGCGGTACACTCCCCGTTACCGGTCTCCTCTCCGTCGCAGCAGGATGTGGACCCTGATGCTGACCCTGCGACAGAAGAGGAAGAGGATGGTTATCTCAGCGACGATCCTGACGAGGAAGCAGATCCTGAGTCGTTGAGCATTGTGGCTGCTAAGCTTAAGTTCACGCTAACACTTCTGATTCCTTTCAGGCATGAAGCAGAAGTGCCTAGGACAGCAGACTCTGTTGCTGCTCACCTTGATGACTGGAAGGAGGTTCTCTCGGCGGAAGCATTAACTACCACGAAGTATCAGAAACTCACGCCGGCTTACCTGTCCAAGACGCGTTATGGTCGCTTGCAAGTGGTTTTCACTTCGGAGGACGATGCATACTTTGTCAAGCAGCGGAAGATCGAGCATGTCACGCTGAAGGGAGAAGTTCTGGAGCTGAGGTGGCAGTTCCCGGAAGATTCCACGTACATCCATCTGCGCGCGCTGCATCCGGAGGCGATTGAAGTTGTTCTGAAAAGTGTACCGGCTGAGGTGACTTCGGACATCATCGCGAGCCTGCTGGCGGAGGTGAAGCTGATTAAGAGGGGGAAGACTGCATACAAGGAGGCCTTAGGTTTTCACCGCGTCCAGGATCCAGTGACAGGCCTGGATACGGACAAGGTCAGGGGTCTTGTGGTTGAGCACAGCAATGATCGCTACCGATGGCGTCATTTCATCGAAGAGCCTGCTAAGCGGGGGAAGAAGCTGCTCCTGCATTTCCCTTCTGTCAGCTGCGATTTCTGCAACGGTCATCATCTGACCCGCTACCACGACGACTACGTCACTGACCGTCAGGGGAACATTTCAAAATGGAACCTAACGGTTAAACGGGTGCATGAGATCAATGGTATTTCTGCAGATAAGCGTTATGTGCATCAAGCGTTCCGTCCATCTTTACATTCCGCTTACCATACTGACTTACCTCTTCTTTCATCTGCGCGCAGCGGCTTCTCTGATAGTCACAGACCGTCTGAAAGCCATTCTGAAGGATCCGGCGATGGTGCTGATATCGACAGCGGGTTCCCGAGAAGACTGGATCTGCGTCCAGGATGCGTGCGACAAGGCGCACGGCTCCAGTTTCGAACTTGCTGCTGCTCATGCTGCGTCCATCCGTCACAAGACGAACCGCAACAAGGCAGGTGCTGCTACCCGCGCGAGCAAAGGCGCGCTTGCTGCTGCTGCGTTGAAGAAGGAGTTTTTCAAGTGACCTGCCACCAAAAACAACGTGGGGGAGTCAAGGAAGTGGTGGCTGCAGAACACATGTCAGGAATAAGGCGACTGGAGCTTGCTGTACCTGGAGTAGCTGTTGCCATATCAATGGTTGTTGCTGTGTCTTGCTGCTTGGTGATATCAACGCGTTCTTACGACCCGTGGATGCTGTGGGGTCCCAAGGCAGTGGTTAAATGAATACATCCACCGTAGTCAAGTTAAGCGCGCTCAATATCAACGGCTTGGGCAGCGCGGGGAAAAGGAACAAGTGTCAGAGATGGTTAAGGAAGGCAGCAGAAGTGGTAGTGCTGGCAGACACAAGAATCAGTGAGGATCATAATTTCTGGACGCAGTTGCGTCCTTCAGCCATGGCGGCAGTATCACCCACGCAGAAGGCAGGCGGTGTGGCGGTGCTATGTTTCTCACCGGAGGTTCTGCTGAGTGAGGTCGTGAAGCATAGCTCAGGGAGGCTGCTCGCGGTCACCCTGAGGTGGAAGGAGCTGGAGTGGCGTTTAGTGGCCGTGTATCTCCCGGCGCAAGCCGGTGTGCGCGGAGCTTTCATCAGGGACTGCTTCATCCCCTTCATGGATCGGCTCCCTGTGGCAGCACACACAGTAGTGATGGGGGATTTCAATTTGGTGGAGGACCCGGAGCTGGATAAAACGTCACGGCTCGGAACGGTTGCTGAAAATCAGAGACTGATCAACGGGTGCGCAAAGCTCGATCTGCAGGACGCGTTTCGGACGCTTCATCCAGTTAAAAAGGAATATACCTTCTACTCACGTTCGGCGAGAGTCAGCTCGAGGATTGACCGAGCGCTGGTGTCGTCCTCTCTGTTCAGCGCCGTCAGTGCTGCCTTCCACACGTACATCCCGAAGGGGATCACGGATCACTGGTTTGCAGTCTCGGTGAAGCTGGCGTCCTATGCGGATAGTGTGAAAGGCCCCGGTTTATGGAGACTGCCGGCGAAGCTCGCGGGGAGCAAAGGTGTGAGGAAAATCACGCAAGCGATCACACAGCAGCAGGATGGGAAGGTGGATGAGGTTTTTACGTCGACGCTGAAAAAGCTGCAGGTGGGGCTGAAGGAATATGCAAAAGGGGAAAGGAAGAGGGTGGCCCGTACGGTCGTACACTTGGAAGAGAAGGCAGCGGCGCTGAAACAAGCATACATGAGCGACGTGGGGGATGCGAGTCTGCAGGAACAGCTTGCGAAGTGCGAAGCGCAGCTGAAATCCTACTGGGATGGGAAGCAAGAATGGCTACAAACTCTGGCTGGTATTAAAGGGGAGCTGGAAGGAGAAATGGCCTCGAAGTTTCTCTCCGGAAAGGTGGCGTCCCGGAAGGCGAAAACGGAGATCCCGTCTTTATCCGTGGGGGGGAAAGCTGTCAAGGGGGCAAAAGAGATATTGGAGGCGGCGTCAGATTTCTTCCATGACCTTTTCGGGAAGGCCAGGGAGGTGTCCGGCGAGGTGTGGTTGACCGACAAGAGCAAGCGGCTGGACGGGAAGGACCAGGAAATGCTGCAGGCGAAATGGACGGAAACGGAAGTAAGGAAGGCGATAGCGGAGCTGCCAAAGGGGAAAACCCCGGGGAGCGACGGGCTACCAAGGGAGATTTTCACAAAGAACTGGGACCTACTGGGGCCAGGGCTGATGGATTTCCTACACGACTTCGAGAAATCGGCGCGTCTGCCAGAGAGCCTGACAACGGCAGTCACGATTCTGCTGCACAAGAAGGGAGATAAAGAGACTTTGGGGAACTACAGGCCCATCACCTTACTGAATACGGCGTACAAGGTCGTTGCGAAGGTTCTAGCGAACAGGATGAAAGGAGTGTTGCCGAAAGTAATCTCGGAAGACCAGCATGGTTTCGTACCTGGGCGGAAGTTATCGGATGCGGTGGCGGCAGTAGCAGATGTAATTGATGCGGCGGCAACCGGGAAGGAAGACTGGTACCTTCTGCTTGTTGATTTTCAGAAGGCGTACGATTCAGTGTCGAGGCGGTATCTGTTCAGCACCCTGAGGGAGATGGGTTTCCCTGAGATCTTCGTCAGATGGGCAGAGGGACTTCACGAGGAAGCCGGCACCAGGCTCCTGGTCAATGGTTGGCTTGGAGAGAGGCTGGGGGTCGAGGTCGGTGTGAGGCAGGGTTGCCCACTTGCGCCGTACCTTTTCATCTGCGCAGTGGAACCTTTGTGTCAGGAGATACAGAAGAGGAAGCTGGGTATCAGGAAGCGCGGAAAAGGAGAGCTCGCATACCTGGGTTACGCAGACGATACCACCTTGGCGCTGATTGGGCTCGTGCAGGTGTCGAAAGCGGAAGAAGTGCTGAGGGATTTCGGGGAGGTGTCGGGCCTGAAAGTCAACCAGGAAAAGACAGTGTTAATGCCGCTGGGGAAGAACAGGAGGAGAAAGTTTCAAGGGGCACCCCCTTTCAAAGTGGCGACGTCAAGTCAACCGGAACGACTGCTGGGTGTTTGGATTACCCCGAACGGAGAGGCGGGGCCGGCCTGGGACAAGGCTTTCGAGAGGGTTAGCGGCTCGCTCACAAGATGGGCCGCGCAGCACCTTACGACGACGGCAAGGGTCGCGGTGGTAAACTCGTACGTGATGCCGGTGCTGCTCTTCCAAGCACAAGTGTACCCGCCACCGATTGATTTCTGGACGAGGGTGCGAAGGTTGTGCCACAATTTCGTCTCCGGGGGGAGAGCGTCGCTGGACCGCCGTTTCGTCCTGTGGAGCTACGAGCTGACATGCAGAAGGAGAGAAGGGGGGCTGGGGGTGATTAACCCGAGAGATCGAATTGACAGCATGGCGCTTCAAGCAATAAGTAAAGCCATTGCGGAGAGGAGTGAAGTAAAACGGTGGATGATGGAGCAGGCAGCGGCAATGCCACTGGGCTGGGCTACGCTATGGGCACACAAAGACGTCATAAAGCATTGGAAGGGGGGAGGCGAGCGGTGGAAAGCAGCCTTGCAGATTCTCTGGAAGAGGAAGCTCCCGCTTTTTGGAGAGCCGGAGACCAGATGGGAGGCAGAGCAGGAGCATCTGTGGTTTAACAACCGTATACTCTTCCGTGGGAGAAGCCCTTTCGGTGCGCAGCGAGGCTCCAAGTGCCTGAAGGGCATGAAGCTGTGCGACCTGCTCATCAGGAATTTGGATGGCACAGTTGAGGTTAAAGACTTGCAAAGGCTCAGCAGGGAACTGGGGGGGAAAATTCCAGCTCGCTGGGCGCTTAAAGCTTTCCTGGCGGCGCCAAAGGAGTGGCGAGACATGCTGCTCAAGCCGCGGACGGCAGAAGAAATTTTATACGCTACAAATCTGGTGCGAACTGGCGGGGAAAAGGCGAAGCAGCAAAACTACTGGAGGGTACTAAGGACGGAGGGGGAACGACTAGTCATCAAGCGGGTGGAAGTGACGCTGGGACGGGTGGCGCCTGCACCATACGCCAGCCCTTTCGCTATTAGTGCGTCGTGGGTTACGCCGATTAAGGAGGTGGATGGGAAAGTCCTGGGGCAGCTTGGGCATCACCTTACCAGGCTGAGGGAGTCGTCGCTCTATAAAGGGGGGGAGCTGGTAGCGCTGAAAACCCTAAGGAGTGCAATTGGGGTGGATGCTGGAAAACCGAAGCAGCAGACCAGGTGGGAGGAGGAGCTGGGGAGGCAGGTAAATTGGCCGAGAGTTATTGCTACACGTGACTCGATGGTGGTCCCCGCAAGGGCAAGGGAGGTGCTCCTCAGAATTCACAGCGGGAACCTACAGGTGGGAGCCAGGCTTCCCTTCTTGGGTGAGCTGGCAAAATGCCCGCACTGTGGGGGAGAAGAGACAACCGACCACTGCCTGATGACGTGCCCGGAGGTGGGCAAGGTTATCAAAAAGCTGCATGCGGCGTTGGAGTTTTTTGGGGTCAGGGAAGAGGCGAAGTGTGTGGGAGACCTCCTTTTCCGGGGCTCCATCACGAAGTCGAGCTTTCCAGAACTGCCGCTGGTTGCAATCACGCTCCAGCAGCTGTGGGTGGCGAGATGTGATGCGGTTTTCAGACAGGAGAAGTTCCAGCACAAGAAGGTGGTCAGTAAAAATTTGGCGACTTTCATCCGACATGTCAGGGTCTACAGCAAGTGGAGAGACGGACAATCGCGCAAGACAAGAACGGCAAGTGGCAAAAATTGGGGACAGCTGGCTTCGGACGAAGCGATGGTCCTTAACAAAGTCTTCGTGGGAGAGAGAGAGCTAACATGGAAGGAGGGCTTCCGCGCGATCTGGGAGGATCCGCGAGCACGGTACAAACCGCCATAAAGGGGATGTTGGGAGACTAGCTGCTAGACTCGTTAGTAGCTAGGTCTTCCATGGAAACAGTTACGACTGTGGTTGTATGCTTATAAAGTGTACTTCCGACCAAAAAAAAAAAAAAAAAAAAAAAAAAAATCGGTTCGGGGAATCGGTGCGGAGGAGGTGTGTGAAAGCCTGCATCTCACAGATCAGCAGAGTCAGCAGCACCAGCACACCACCAGTCAGCTGCCCTGGGATATTTGTTGGCACATTTGAATTTCTACAGCATTTAGGAGTCGATTTTTCCTCTCTAGAGATGGTCACAATTCAAGACCCAGAAAGGAGATCTTCGATCCAGCCACTGCTGCACAGCAAGAGGCGGTAGAATGTAGTGTGCGATGCCGTATCGTCTCCTCGCGCACGGACGCGCTCCTATGACGCCAGAGCAGCTCTTTCGTACAATATTTTGACTATCTTGCCGGCCTTTCTTTTAATATACTTCCCCCCCCCCCCGCTTTAACATCCACCAATTTTCTTGCCGGCATATCACTCTCCTGTGCTTATTTTTTTCTAGCTGGCGGCGTGCTTGCATGGATCACGCGAAAGGCCCAGCCGGTTTAGCCAGTTCAGGAGCGGCCTCACGATCAGGAGGTGCTAGCAATAGTAGCAGTAGTAGGCTCGGTCAATTGAACGACCCTACAGTAGGTTCGGCGGCGAACAACCCTGTTACAATCACTTCCCCTAACGTCACACCGGCAACTGCTCCGTCGTCTAATGTAACCACTCCGCGCGCCACTCCCAGCTTCCCCCGCCCTGGGGGGGGAAGCGCTGCGCTTTCGCCTTACTCCGCAGGCGCGTCGCCGTATCGATCGGCTGCTTCCTTTTACGGGGCCACCGGAAACCCTTCCGCCAGTTCTGGTCCTTTAAAAGGCGCTGCGGGTGGCGCTGGCGCAGGTTCCGCCTCTGTGTCCGCGTCTCCTAGTGTGGCGGAACGACGGGCGGAGATCGTCGCGCATCATCTCCGCGTGGCCGCGTCTCTGGCTTCCGCCGTTTCCGCCATCGACGACTCCGCGGGCTCCGCCGTTTCCGCTGATCCTCCCCCGCTGGACTTACAGAGCGCAGCTGTTCGCGCGGAAGGGCAGCTTCCGCCAGGCGAGATCGGGGGAGACTTGAGAGTGACAGTAACGAATGAGACAGGAATGAATGGCGCATTCAAGAGCGAGACGGAAGCCGAAGCGGCGGAACGGACTGATTGGGATCGGTCGGCCGAAGGGGACGGTAGACCTGACGAGGCGGGGAACAGTGATCCGAAACGGACCGAGAATAAGCGGATCGATAGCCGTCGAGGAAATAGCGGCGGCGGCGGCGGCGGCGGTGTTGGTGGCGGAAGTGGTAGTGGTAGCGGTGGACAGAGGAGATCAGGCGGAAGTGGAGACGCGGATGCGGGGGAGACTTCGAGGCAAAACGAAGGCGGGCGCCCCCCGCGCAGCCCTGAGGACGGGAGCGGCAGTCGCGGAAGGAAGAAGGGCAGCGCCAAGCGGTATCCAGTGCGCCGGCAACTGTTTTCCGCGGGAGGGCGACGCGCGGGCGCCGCAACGGGGGGAAACGGGGGCGGGGATGGAGCCGGCGGAGCAGGCGAACGGGGCGGAAGAGGCGCGCGGGGATCTTCCGCGGGGCAGGGTGAGGAGTGGCGGGCTCCGCAGCCGTGGGGGCGCGCGGGGAGAGCAGTGCGGTCGGTGCTCCGCACATGGGGTTGGGACACGTTGTTCTGGCGGCACGAGGAGCAGGGGCAGCTGCTGGGGGGAGGGCGGGCGAGCGGAGAATCAGGGCGGGCGGAAGATGGCGCGCAGGAGGAGGAAGGCGGGGGAGGGGAGGGGGGAGGAGAGGGGTCGGGGTCGGGGGCGGGGGCGGGGGAGTGGGGGAGGCAGTATCCGCAGGGCGCGCAGGGGGATCCGCTGGAGAGTTTGGACTATGATGTGATAGACAACTCGGTGTATCGCGAGGAACAGGTGAGGGTGCCAAATCTATGCTGGTGGGGGTGTCACTGATTCCAGTCGGTACAGCAAGTGCCGCGAGCGAGAGAGGAGCACCGCGTGGCGAGAGAGGAGCAGTTGGGGGGCGAAATGTCAATTGTGACGTTGGAAATGAGGGGGGTGAGGAGGTGAGGACATGGGGAGGTGGGGAGTTGGAGAGGTGGGAAGGTGGGAGGTGAGGATGTGGGAAGTGGGGATGATGAATGCGTGTGCTGCGCGGGTCGTTGCATCCAGTCTGTTCCAGTCTCCTGTTCCACTTCACCCGTCCACGGGAGTAGTCGTCCCACACTCGCACTTACACGCCCTCCACGTCCCTGTTCCCTCTTCGCCCGTCGCCCCTCCTTCTCCCTGCTATTTTCGTCTCCGTTGTCTTCTGTGGCACGTTCCTTCTCTCCTCCTGCCCGCATGTTGGCAACGTCTCTCTCAGTGCTTGCCACTCCTCCCTTCTCTTCCTCCCTTCCCTGCTACACCTCTTCCTCCCCAAACCCCCTGCCCCGACCTCCTCACCCTGTCCCACCAAACACCCCCCCTTCCTCCCCCCCATCCTGTGCATGTGTGTGTTCGTGCGTGCGTGCGTGTGTGCGTGGGCATGGGTGGCAGGCAAGGAGGGGCAAGTTGCACCAGATGGGGTACCTCATAGTCAAGTGGGTCTTTGCTCTCTGCCTCGGCATAGGTACGTACGACCCAAACGATTGTACGACCGACCGACCGACCGTAAGGCCGAATGACTGACCTATGTTCTTCCGTCCCACTCACTCCCCATCCCTTCCCGTTCCCAATTTCGTTTTGCTCTGTCCCCTTAGCGTTCCTTCCCTCTCTCTTCGTCTGTCATGCTCCCCGATGCTCTCCCCTGCCGCTCTCTGCCGCGTATACCTGCGTGCGTGAACCTCTGTTCCCTGTCCGCCCTGTCCGCCGCTCTCTGCCTGGCTCCTCGTCCCCTCCTCAGTCATCTGTCACTCCCCCGCCCCTCACTCTCTGGTCCTAAGCGCATCCCATGCCATGCCGACCTCTCTGCCCTGCCCTCTCCACTCAACCCATCCCCACAGACAGCCACGGGTCTGGCAGCCTTCTCCATCAACGTGGCTCTGGAGATCCTGGCGGGCTGGTAGTTTGGGGGAATTCTTAATAATCAGACATGCCTTGCCTTGCCTAACCTTTCCCTTCCCTTCCGTGCCCTGCCCTGCCCTGCCCTGCCCTGCCCCGCCCTGCCGTGCCCCGCCCCGCCCCGCCCCGCCCTGCCCTGCCCTGCCCCGCCCCGCCCTGTCCTGGCCTGGTCGCTCTATTCATCCGTCCACACAGCCACGGGTCTGGCAGCCTTTTCCATCAACGTGGCAGTGGAGATTCTCGCGGGGTGGAAGTTCGGGGCCACGTGGTGGGTGATGCAGCGCTCGCACGCGCTGGCCTTCGTGGTGTACCTGGCCTTCAACGTGCTGCTCGTCTTCTCCTCCTCCTTCATCGTCACCCGCTTCGCCCCCGCCGCTGCCGGCTCGGGGATTCCAGAGATCAAGGGGTATCTGAACGGTAGGTAGGTGGGGTGGGTCGCGGGTGTGGGAGTGAGGTCGGGTTGTGGTTGGGGTTGGGTTGGGGTCCGTACTTACTTCCGAGACGTGTCAAAAGACGGGAACAAGGGGTGCTTGAACGGTAGGTGGGTTGCGGATGGAGGATGGGATCCCAACCTCGTTTCTGCATGATTCTACGGTAGGTTCTGAAAGGTTTGGCACACAGGAAGGCCAATAGGTTAGGCCATCATCGGGGTAGGATAGGCAGGCGAGCCGTGGGCAGGTGGATGGGCTGGGCAGGAAGGCTGGTGGACGCAGTGCTGCTGTGCTGCAGTGTCGCCATCCCGTCACATGGTCCAGTCCATCAACTCCCTCGTTTAGTCCCCGTCACAGCTCCCAAAACCCTCTGTCTGTCCGAGCGTTGCGCGCTGTGCGGGTGCCTCATGAACTGACACTTTGTTCTCCCCCCCCTCCCCGCCTGTCCCCCCTCCCCCCCCACCCCCCGGTGTACGGTGCAGGCATTGATATGCCGGGCATCCTGTTGGTGCGCACGCTGGTTGGTAAGGTCTGCTTCTCTGCCTCCTTTGCCCTCCCAACCCACCCTCCCACCCACCCACCCGTTCCCCCACCCACCCACTCGCTCTGTGTTTTCTTCTACATTCAGATGTCAGGTTTACTATCAGCACTTCGCACCTCTTTCTCACTCTCCCTTCCTCCCTCTTCTACCCGTCACTCCTCGCCTGTCCCCCGATCTCTCTCGCACCCCACGCCCCACCCCCGCCCCCCTCACTTTGCTGTAGCAAATTTCCTTTAAACTGTTTTGCATCTGTGCTACTTGTTGAATCTACATCAGATCGACACACATCAGCCTTGCCAGGCTTTTCTCGAAATCACTCTGAAGCTAGTTGGCAAAGTCATGGCAAGTTTGGGCGATGGGCGCTTGCTGCTCAGAAGAACCAAACCATTGCCTTAGGATAAACAACTTCGTAAGACTGTTACATGAGTATGGAACCTGAACCGAAAGCCACACCGCCAGATGGGTTTGTTGAAACCTGAATTGAAGCAAGCCACTCGACTGACGGTGGCGACCCAACTCGAAAGGGTTCTGTAGGCACAACACCCCACCCTTATTTTGATTATCATATATACACATATATGATAATCATAATAAGGTATGACTTCAATCCAGCAATGATGTTCTTGGCCTCCCTCTCATTCTCCTCCTTACCTTCCCCCTGTCCCCTTTGCTGCCCCCGCGGTATCATCCCTGCCACCCCTGCCACCCCTGCCATGCCTGTCGTCCCTTTGTTGCAGATGCTGGGCAGTGTGGGGTCGGTGGCTGGTGGGCTGGCGCTGGGCAAGGAAGGCCCTCTCGTGCACACTGGCGCGTGCCTTGCTGCTCTCATCGGTCAGGTCAGTGTGCGGGGGGGGGGAGGGAGGGAGGGAGAGGGGGACTGGGAGGGGAGGGGGGTGTGGGTGTGTGTCTCATGGGTGTTTTGGTGGGCTGGCGCTGGGGAAGGAAGGCCCTCTCGTGCACACTGGCGCGTGCCTTGCTGCTCTCATCGGCCAGGTCAGTGTGCGGGTGTGGGTGGGTGTGGTTGGGTGTGGGTGTGTGGGGGGGCGGAGGGAGAAGGGGTGTGTGGGTGTGTGTGGTTGTTTGTGAACTGGGGTTCAGGTGAATGGGGAGTGATGGGGGGTTGAGAAAGCGGGATGTATTTTCCATCCGTCCTCGCCTGGTCTTCCTGTGGCATAGCACTGCTGCTGTCTGTCTGTCTGTCTGGTACTTAGGCGGCTGATTTGTAGTTGAGGCACCTCAGAAGTAGCATGGCGTGAGCTAGGTAATTACGCTTCTGATCTAGTTTTGAGGTGAGGTATGCCGGCAGTGGCTGCTGATGCGGTTTGTTAGCTCAACTTGCTTTCCCCTTCCGAGTTGGTCTCGCTTTGCAGTCCTGTGCCCTCCCGTTAGTCTTTCCCCTCCGCTATCCCCCCCCTCCCCCCTCCCCGCCCCCCTCCGTTTCACACTTCTCACCAAACACGCCGTCACCTCACTTTCCACTTCTGCACCTCCCTCACCCCTCTCCATCCTGATTTTTTTTAGGCGACTTAAAAGTCACTTCTACACTTCCTCCCCCCACTCCATCCTAATTTTCTGACCAAGGTTGCTAATTGTGCCACGCCGCCACCACATTTCGTTCCGGAATCTCAAAATCACTTTCTCCTCTCCTCTCCTCTGCTCTCGTCTCCTCTCATCCCCCTATCCCTCTCCTCCTGTGCCCCTCTCCATGCCACGCGTTCTCCTCCCCTCGCCTTCCCCCTGCCCCCCCCCCCTCTGCCTTCACCCTACCCTCCTCCCTCCCTCCTCCCCCCCTCCTCCCCCCCTCCTCCCAACCTCTCAATCTGCACTCGCCTGCTCAGGGCGGCTCATCGCGCTACCGCATCCCCTTCAAGTGGTTCCGGGCATTCCGCAATGACAGGGACAGGCGAGACATGGTGGGTACGGTACGGGTATGGGGGAAGAGAGGGGGGGACGACAGTTGGAGAAAAGAAGGGAGCATTGGGGGAGAGGGGTAAAGATGCGCCTGGGCTGTGTGTGTGTGTGTGTGTGTGTGTGTGTGTGTGTGTGTGTGTGTGTGTGTGCACGCGCGCGTGTGTGTGTGTGCGTGAGTGCCTTTGGGTGTGCATGCGTGCCTGTGCGTGTGCCCGTCTACTCGTGTGCACGTGTATGCCATTTCTTCCGTCCACCCTACTCTCTCTCTCTCTCTCTCTCTGCCTCCGCACATGACATCAAACCTTCCCTCCCCGGTCCCCCAGGTCACGTGTGGAGCGGCAGCGGGGGCAGCAGCGGCGTTCAGAGCACCAGTAGGGGGAGTGCTGTTTGCACTGGAGGAGGTCACGTCCTGGTGAGTTTTGAGTTTTGAGTCGACTCAAAAGTCAGCACCAGTAGGGGGAGTGCTGCACTGGAGGAGCTCACGTCCTGGTGAGGAAGGGGTGAGGGACGGTGGGTGAGGAAATGTGAGCGAGGGGGTTGCTTGCATTATGTGGCAGGCAGCAGGCTGTTCATTCGGTTCTATTGTACGAGGGCGAGAGTCTGCAGTTCAGGGCAGGGCAGGGCAGGGCAGGGCAGTGCAGTGCAGTGCAATAGTGATGCCCACCTACCTTGTTCTTAAACGACTAGCAATCGCCACACCATGGAAGGTAGGTACCGTATCCTTGGTCTTCCTTCTCTCCCGTTCGTGTATCAATCGAACCGAGTCCTGTGAAGAGGAGTTCAACTCGTCACCCCTACCTTCCTTCCCTCCCTCATGTCACCTTGCTTCCCTTTCCATTCTCCACTTACCCTCTTCCACCACTTTTTCCTCCTTCGCTCCCTCCCTCCCTCCCTCCCTCCCTCCCTCCCTCCCTCCCTCCCTCCCCCCCTCCCCCCCTCCCTCCATCCCTCCATGTATGTGGTGCTGGGCTCGTCCACACCAGGTGGCGCCCGCAGCTCATGTGGAGGGTGTTCTTCACGTCAGCAGTGGTGGCGGTGGTGCTCAAGGCGTGCATGCGCTGGTGTGCCAGCGGGGAGTGCGGCAAATTCGCATCGGGCGGGTTCATCATTTGGGATGTGCACGGGTGCGTGCTGTGCTGTGCTGTGTTGTGCTGTGCTGTGCTGTGCTGTGCTGTGCTGTGCGGTGCTGTGCGGTGCGGTGCTGTGCTGTGCTGAGCTGTGCTGTGCTGTGCTGTGCTGTGCTGTGCTGTGCTGTGCTGTGCTGTGCTGTGCTGTGCTGTGCTGTGCTGTGCTGTGCTGTGCTGTGCTGTGCTGTGCTGTGCTGTGCTGTGCTGTGCTGTGCTGTGCTGTGCTGTGCTGTGCCGTGCCATGCATGTTGGACCATATCGTGCCACATGTTGCCACATCATGACTGTCATGTCGAATATTGTTTTCTTCTCGATTTAGCCTGTCATGATTCATCTGCTGAATGTATGCGTCTGTGTGTGTGGCTGTGTGGATGTGTGGCTGCATGTTTCGTGTGTTTATGGGGGGGTCTGAGTCTGTGCTCATGCATGTATGCAGGGGAGCGAGTGAGTTCTTCTCTTATCAGCTGCTACCCATGACCATGCTCGGTCTCATGGGTGGCCTTCTAGGTACGACCATTGACCGAGAAGGCCACACACCATTGGGTGGTCTCATGCCTGCCACACACCATTGGGTGGTCTCATGCCTGCCACACACCATTGGGTGGTCTCATGCCTGCCACACACCATTGGGTGGTCTCATGCCTGCCACACACCATTGGGTGGTCTCATGCCTGCCACACACCATTGGGTGGTCTCATGCCTGCCACACACCATTGGGTGGTCTCATGCCTGCCACACACCATTGGGTGGTCTCATGCCTGCCACACACCATTGGGTGGTCTCATGCCTGCCACACACCATTGGGTGGTCTCATGCCTGCCACACACCATTGGGTGGTCTCATGCCTGCCACACACCATTGGGTGGTCTCATGCCTGCCACACACCATTGGGTGGTCTCATGCCTGCCACACACCCCTGCGCATCGCTCCCTCTTCCCCTCCACCCGCCTTTCCTCCCTGCCCAGCCCATCTCCCCGCCAATCTTCCGCTCCTCTTCATGCTTTCCTTTCGATTCTCGTTTTCAACCCTCCCTCGGCTTCCCCCTCCTCTGCTAACCCCCCTTCTGCTTACTCCCCTCTTCTGCTACCCAGTGCCCACTCATCTGTTTCAGAATTCTCCCTCCTCCCCTCCCTGGCCAACCCATCCACTCCTCTGCTCATCATCCCTTCCCCTCACCGCACTCCTCTCCTCCCTACCATACCTCATGGGCCCTCATCCATCCCAGTCCACCGTTCAACCCCTGCTGCTCCTCACCCGCCCTCCTCATCCCGCCCTGCTCCTCCCGCCCTGCCCGTTGCCCGCTGCATGCGCCCACCCAGGGGCACTGTTCAACCAGCTCACACTCTACCTCTCGGCATGGCGCCGCAACTACCTCCACAAGCGAGGCGATCGAGTCAAGGTCTGGTTCCTTGCCCCCCTCCCTCCCCCTCCCTCCCCTTTCCCTCCTCGTTTTCCTCCCTCTTGCACCTTCATTCAGTTCCCTCTTCCTCGCCTCCCCTCCCCTCTCTGCCTCTCTCACTGTGTCTCCCAACCGTCGTCAACCACATGTCTGGTAGTAGCAGCAGCGACGTCAGCGCTGCCATTCACACGATCTGTTCCTCCTCCTCTCCCCTGCCCACCCAAACCCCCAACCTCCCCCGCCCCCCCATCTTCTCACCCCTCCGCTCCACTGCCCAACGAATCCCCCAACCTTTTCCGCGCCTCCTCCACCCTCCTTCTCCCCCCACCCCTTCAGATCATCGAGGCGTGCCTGGTGGCAGCAGCGACATCAGCGCTGTCCTTCACCATCCCCTTCCTGGCGCCGTGCCGAGCATGCCCTGACCCCATGCGTTACCCTGACATTGTGTGCCCGCGCCCCAAGTACCACTGGGGCAACTTCGTGCAGGTGAGGGGAGGGGAAGGGGTGGGGGGTGGGGTTGGGGAGTGCTGTGATGCTGAGGGATGGGAGAAGCATGGGGACAGGGGAGGAAGCTGGGGTATGTACAGGGGGGAGAGCTGGGGCACAGTGGGAGGGGTTGGGGGTGAGGAGAGGAGGAGGAGGAGGAGTAGCATCAAGTTGTCGCATTTCCTGCTGTCCGTCCGTGCTATTACTCTCACTTTGTCTGTCTGATGATTTTGCTTGCAATCCCCCGTCGTCGTTACCCCTCCCCTCTCTACCATGCCCACATTCTCACATTCGCGCTGTTCCCTGTGTGTGCATTTTTGAGAATTCTCAAAAATGCTCGACCCCCTGTGCGTGCACGACCCCCTGTGCACCGTCCTCTTTACCACGCTGCATGTGTGGGGGCACGTGTGGGGGCACGTGTGGGGGCACGTGTGTATGCACGTGCGTTTGTGTGTTCCTGCGTGAGTGGCTGTGTGTGGCCCTGTGTGTGTGCATGTGTCCCCCCCAGTTCAACTGCCCTCGCGACGACCAGTACAATGACCTCGCCACCATTTTCTTTAACACACAGGTGCGCTTGGGGTGCAGGTGGGGTGGGGGTGGGGGTGCGGGCGCAGGTGCGGGTGGGAGTGGGGATGCGCGGAAGTGGATGGGGGAGGGGGCGGAAGGGGGGGAGGGAGCAGGGAGGTGAGGGGGAGTGTGGGAGACGTGTTGGGTGGTGGGGTGTTGTTGATAGGCTGTGAGAGCATAGGGAGAGGAAGGGGTGGGTGAAGGGGAGGACTGTACTGTCTCGCCTCGTCTCGCCTCATCTCACCTCATTTCGCCTCATCTTGTCTCGTCGCGCCTTGTCTTGTCCTGAACCCGACGCCTCCTTGCCCCCGCACGGCACAGGACGATGCCATCCGCAATCTGTTCAGCAGCGGCACTATCCAGGAGTACAGCGCCACCACCCTCATCTCCTTTCTCACCTCATCGTGCCTTGTCTTTGCCCCGAACCCGGCGTGCCACAGGACGACGCCATCCGCAATCTGTTCAGCAGCGGCACTATCCAGGAGTACAGCGCCACCACCCTCATCTCCTTCCTCGTCAGTGCCTCCTCCCACGCCCCCTCTCTCCCTCGCCCCCTCTCTCCCTCGCCCCCTCTCTCCCTCGCCCCCTCTCTCCCTCGCCCCCTCTCTCCCTCGCCCCCTCTCTCCCTCGCCCCCGCTCTCCCTCGCCCCCTCTCTCCCTCGCCCCCGCTCTCCCTCGCCCCCTTCGCTCCCGCGCCTTTTGCTCCCTCCCTGACTCACCCACTCTTTTCCCCCGTCACTCGCTCCTTCGCGCCCTCGTCTCTTGCTCCCCCCCTCCCTTGCTCGCCCTCTTTCGCATCACGGCTGAAGTTTTGTTTTGTGTGTTGGGAAGCATGTTGAGGCGCCCCTTGCCCCGTCACTGCCTCGCTGCTGCATATAAAAGGGGCTTGTAGATGCTGCATGTTAATACGACATGCAGATGTATTTCGCAACTCTTAGCTGCTCTCTCCTCCCTCTCCGCCCTCCCATACCCCCTCCCTCCCCTCCAGCTCATCTGCTTCTGCCTGGCAGTGCTGACATATGGCATAGCGGTGCCGTCAGGGCAGTTCGTTCCTGGAGACGTCTCAACACTCAACCCTCCGCAACTACCTTGCTCACCCTGGTTCCCTCTCTCCTCCCCACGCTCCTCCCACTCACCCCTTCCCCTCCCTCCCCTCCAGCTCATCTTCTTCTGCCTGGCGGTGCTGACATACGGCATAGCGGTGCCGTCAGGGCAGTTCGTGCCAGGCATCATGATAGGTGCCACGTACGGGCGGCTGGTGGGCATGCTCATGGTGCACATGTACGGGCAGGACAACACGGACGAGGGCACGTGAGTGTGGAAATTGAGAAGGGGTTGGTGGGTGGCGTTGGTTGGTTGGTAGTGACATAACGGGCTGGTGGGCATGCTCATGGTGCACATGTACGAGCAGGACAACACCAACGAGGGCGCGTGAGTGTGGAATAGAGGGGTGGGCGCTGGGGGTGATGGAAGCAAGAGGAAAAGGGATGGATTCGGAAGGGGAGGGGGGCTTGGAGTTGGAGTGTGGTGTGGGGGGATGTGGCGCAGCAGAAGATCTAGTTTGTTTTGCTGTGACTGAGATGAGAGGAATGTGGGCTTGCTTGCGTTTCGCACCACAAAGCGCAGCAAGGCACAGCACAGCACGGCTCAGCACAGAGCTCACACACTCATCCCTCCCCTCCCTTTCCCCCTCTTGCAGGTACGCGCTGCTGGGAGCAGCATCGTTCCTGGGGGGGTCGATGCGCATGACGGTGTCGCTGTGTGTGATCATGGTGGAGATCACCAACAACCTCAACCTGCTCCCGCTCATCATGCTCGTCCTCCTCGTCTCCAAGGTGCCTTCCACCTACTGCTGCCTGCCTGCCATTGCCTGCCCCTGCCTGTCGCTGCGCGCCACTGCCTGCCTGCCTGCCTGCCTCACATACCACCTATGTAGCTAGGTAGTTAGGCAACTAGTAGCTACTTACCACTTCCTACCTCCTTGTGCATCCACACATACACACACATGCATGCATGCAAGCAATAGAAGCAACCTCTTGAGGGTTTTTGAACCTGTTATATCATCATTCACCTCCTTTCACCCCCCACTTCCATCCCTCCATCCCCCCCTCCCTTTCGCTCCACGCACCAAGCAGTGGGCGACGGGTTGAACGCGGGCTTCTACAACCTCCACACACTTTCTGAATCCTGGTGACAGAGTCCTAAAGTTCCTTCTCCCCCTTCTTCACTCCCCTGCTGTCCACACCAGGCCGTGGGAGACGGGTTGAACGCGGGTTTCTACGACCTGCACGCGCAGCTGCGTGGCATCCCCATCCTGGAGGCCCAGTCGCAGCGCTTCATGCGCATGCTGTCCGCGCGGGACGCGGCGTCCACCAAGGTGGTGTACTTTGCGCGCGTGGAGATGGTGGGGCGCATTGCCGAGGTGCTGCGCTCCACGTCGCACAACGGCTACCCCGTGCTGCAGGACCTGCCTGATGGGCACACGGCGCTTGCTGGGCTTATTCTGCGCAGGTGCGTGGGGGTGATGCTGCTCATGCTGCTCATGCTGCTCATGCTGCTCATGCTGGAGCTGCCACCGCTGCCGCTGCCTCCTGTCCTTTTCAACCCCCGTACTGCCCTCTTATTTTCCTCCTGCTCTTATTGCTCCCCCTCCCGGCCCCTCCCTTCCTCATTCTCGTATCTGGCTTGCCCCATCGCAGCCAGCTGTTGGTGCTTCTGCGCTCCAAGGCGGACTTTCAGCAGTCGCCCACCGAGAGAATTCACCCCCTGCAGACCAGGTAACCCCCTGCACCCCCACCCACTCTCTCCCCACCCACCTCCCTACGTTCTCTGACTAGTCACTCCGTTTGTAACCTCCTCTCTCCTCTTTGTTGCCGTCACACCCTCGCACACTCTCCTACCCCTCAACCCCAAACCCCGTCTTTGTTCAGCTCGCCATGCGCTCCCTTAGCAGCTGCTCCCCCCCTCCTCTCTGTCAAAACTCCTCTCGTCCCCCAATCACTCCTTCCCCCCTTCCTGCCTACCATCAGCTCCCTGCGCTCGCTGGGAAGCTACTCGTTCTCAGACTTTGCCAAGCCGGTGTCCACCAAGGGCATCACCATTGGGGACATAGAGCTGTCTCGGGAGGACCTCACGCTCTGGATCGACCTGGGGCCCTTCCTCAACCCCACGCCCTTCATCGTTGACGAGAACATGTCGCTCACTAAGGTCAGTATTAAGGTAGCTCAAATGTGCGCTGCTTTTGAGCCGCTTCAACAGACTGCGCACATACGGGTTCTATTTTTGAGGCCCTTCCTCAACCCCACGCCCTTCATCGTTGACGAGAACGTGTCGCTCACTAAGGTCAGTATTTACGTACCTGGTCTGGTACCTAATAGGTGCCTGTTCAGTAGGTAAGGTGCACTGCTCGGTAAGGTGTACATCTCACTAAGGTGCGTATCGCTCCCCATCGTATTGCTCACGATCTCAAACTCTCCGGAAAGGCTGGACGTGAGGTGAGGAGATGAAGCTTTTGCAAATGCCAGAGTCGACCACAAAGCACTGTTGCTACTGCTCGCCCACGCACATGCGAGGTTGGACTGCTCGCGGTCGTCGCGATGGGTCAGTGGGTGCGGGGTAAGAGGATATACACGGCGTGGTCCATGAGAATTGAGATGGGGCATGGGGAGAGGCCTTGGGGGAGAATCTGCTTGGCGTGGAGAGATGAGTGAGGTATTCATGGCGACTCCACCGATCCCATTTCCGACTCACGGAACGTGGTGGAGGTGGTGAAAAAGGGTCAAGACGTGCAAAGTATGCGTGTGCAGTCTAGCCCAAAGAGGTGGTGGAAGGGAAATTCGATTTTTGGATCGCGCCATGTCAATGACGGTAGGGCTTTACTCCGGCAGCCGCGCAGCAGCAGGGGGCAGAAGGGTTCCTCTGGATCATCAGTGGCCACTGTTGCCACCAGTGGCGGCTGATGACCCAGTAAAGCCCTCTTCTCCCCGTGCTGCCGGGCAGCTTTGGAGTGAAACCCTGTCGTGATTGACAAGGTCTGATCTTCAGGTGTCATTTCCACCTCCTCGCTGGGCTACACACACACGCATGTTCTGCACGTCTGGCAACTCCACCACCTCCACCACGTCCTGTGAGTCGGACTCAGAGAGCTGCTGGAAAATACTCTCTGAAACTCTTAGACTTTGCAACTCCACCACCTCCACCACGTTCTGTAGTCAGGGTTGCAGTCGGTTGGTGGAAATACTCTGAAACTCTTAAGCTTGCATTTCCTACTAAAACAAGTCTTGCTTTGCACATGTTATGTGCAAAGTCTATATCCCTTAGCACAAATATCTGGAGGGATAGAAGCAGCGGACTGTCTACTTTTCAGAGACCATCATCCATTGCAACCGCTTGACTGTTGCATGGCTGATGTTTCAAACATGCCACTGCCACCACGACACCCCCTCTTTTTCTCCTTGTGCCCTCTCTTCCCCACCTTCTCAATCCCACCATGCCAGGTGCACACGCTGTTTCGGCAGCTGGGACTGCGCCATCTGTGTGTGGTGCCGCCTCCCTCCAGAGCTGTTGGCATCATCACGCGCAAGGACCTTCTGCCTGAGGTCTGTCTTCCCTACCAAGTGCCCGTCCCCCTGTGCCCCTCCCTACCCCCGTGCCCCTATCCCCGTGCCCCTATTTCCGTGCCCCTATCCCTGTGCCCCTATCCCCGTGCCCCTTCACTGGTGCCCCTTCCTTCCCCCCCCCTTCCCCCACCCCCGCCAGCTCTCCCCTTTCTGCTATCTCAGCTGTGTAATCAGCCGTCCACATATCGGCCCCTCGCATTTTTCACCATTTGTCTGGTTTCTTGCTTGCTGTTCATTATAACTTGTGCAATGTGCACCTGTGATTGCCGTGTTGTGGCGGCCACCATACCATCCATACAATCCATGCAATCCCATTAAATCCACATGATGCGCGCATGCAAATGGCGCACAGATTCTGGAGGAGCGGCATGCAGAGTTTGAGGACCTCACATGGGAGGAAGGCGAGATCGAGGTGAGCAGTGAAGGAAAGGGAGGGAGGCGGGTGGGGGAGGGGGGTTTCTTGGTGGCTTGGGCATGTCATGTCATGCCATGCCATCCCATGCCATCCTGCCTCTAGACCATGTGTCTTTGGGTGACTACGCCTCTTTGCAACTACTGCCACCATTGCATAGCATGGACTCAATGGCATGTCATGGCTGATGCCACTGCACTGTACTGCTCATCCATGAACCTCGTCATTCCTTCAGTCCTTTTAAGGCGCCTCAAGAGTTGTCTCATTGCCCGCAGCAAAAGTACTGCACATCCATGAACCTCTCCCAGCTTTCAACCCTTCCCTGACTTTCAAGTACCCCGCAGCATGTGCCTCACTCTCTCTCTCCTCCTCTACGCGCCCCTCCTCCGTTCCCCATCTCTTCTCTTGCCTGTGCTATCTTCCCACCAGACGTTCACGCCTCGCCTCCTGCGCCGCGGCTCATCTGCTGCCCCCCAGTCGCCCGCGCAGCACCTTCAGCAGCAGCAGATGGAAGTGCAGCTGCGGGAGATGGGCGCTCGGTTTGATCACCAGCAAGAGCATGAGCAGCACCATCAGCAGCAAGGCAGTCAACAGTTGCCAAACGTGCGAGGGAAGAACGTGCGGGGAAGTGTGAGGAGAAGAGGGTCGGATCCACAGCAGATAATGGAGAGAGTGGACGAGAGAGGCAGTGACCAAGTTACTCGCAGTGATCTTGCTGCTCATGAAGATGAGCATCGGCAAAGCTACAACGACCATCACCGGCAACAACAACAACAGCAACAACAGCAGCAGCGGCAGCAAGATTCTCAGCAGAATCGGCAGGGTCAAGAGGAGCAGGAGGGGGAGATTGAGGAGATTTTGATAGACTGTCCTCCTATTGGGGGAACTACTGGGGAAGCAGCAGGTGGAGCAGCAGGATTAGCAGGAACAGCAGCGGCGTCACCAGTGTTGACAGGAGTGCATTCAGGGCATTCAAACGGGGAGCAGCAGCGAGGCGGGGCGAGTAGCTTGCACTCACCTGCAAGTGCAACGACAGATAGAAGGGACGATGCTCCCCTGGTTGACTTAGACTTATCATCAGACTTCAATTCTGCTGCTGCTAGTGGTCCTGCTGGTCCTGCTGCTTCTCCTGCAGCAGTAGCTGCTGCTGCAGCTATTGCCGGTGTTGGCAGCGGTGGTGCTGGCAACCCGGGCAGCAGTGGCGTAGCAAGTGCTGGGTGGTTGGCGCAGGGAGGAGCCAGCAATGTTCATGCTAGCAGCAGCCCTCATGCAAGTGCACCAGCAGGGCAAGGGCAATGGCAAGGACAAGCAGGTACCGGTAATAGTGCCACCAGTGGTGTGGACCGTTTGAGTGGCGATGAGGAGGCTTCATCATTGCTGCTCTAGTGGTGCTTCCTTTAGTGCCCGCGTTGGTTATAGATAATGATAGCTGCCTCGTGTCTCTGTCACCACCTATGTCATCATGGCTATTGCTTTGCACACCATAAAACTACGGTAGTTGAAGGGCGGTTGCAAGCATGGCCTCCCTCCTAGTTCCCAGGCCATGCTGCTGAGTTCAAATGGTGCTTTTCATAGTGCAGACTTTGTCCTCTAGCTGTATATCACACACATGTTTCTGTACTATACCAGTTGGATTGCGTAACTACCGTACTTTCCAGGTATGTCTCTGTACCGGCAAGAATGAAACCATTTGAACATCACACCATTCTATAGCTCACCACAGCTGACATGCCACAGCAGCCAATAAATCAGGCCTTCAGCCGTCAGGGGAGGGTGGATGCGGTTAAAAGGTGAGGCGGTCACAACTGGGGGTGATCCTTGAGTCGACTCACTAATCCCTTCTACAGTATCCTACCTCACTCTGATCCAACCTAGCCTAGCTATCAGGCTCCCAGCCGCCAAGGGATTGGGGCGGCGGGTAGGAGGTGAAGAGGCGGAAGTCGTTGCCGAGCTTGTTGCGGTGCTCTGGACGGAACACAGCCGGGCGCAGCTGCAGCAGACGTTTTGCTGCCTCCGCCTGCACTGCACCTGGGGTGCAGAAGGGGCGAGTGTGGTGTGCAAGGAGGGAGCAGGGGGGAGACGGGGAAATACCAGGTCGAGGTGGAAACGGGGTGAGGAGACTGGTTAGGCATCTTTTGAGACGTCTCAAAAGTTGACTAGGTAGGGATGGTGAGATGATTGAATGTGGCAGGGGGGAACGGAAGGGAAGGGGGGAAGGAGGTTGTGGAGTGGAGAGCAACGGGGGAATGATGGTGAAAAGGGATTTGTATCATGGGTTGCATGCTGAGACTCATCAAGGGGAATGCTGGGATCATGATGGTCGGGAGCGATACAGAGAGGCAAGGTTAGGGGAGCACAAGGAAAGGACGACCAAAAGGCTGTGTGCAGCAGAGTCTTGCTACAGCACGCGCGCTACAGCAGGCGCGCTACAGCAGGCGCGCTACAGCAGGCGCGCTACAGCAGGCGTGCTACAGCAGGCGTGCTACAGCAGGCGTGGCGGGAGGCAGCGCGGGGGAGAAAGGCAAAGGAGGAACGGAGGAACCAAGGGGCAGAGAGAAGGTGGAGATGGGGGAGGGCGAGGGGAGGAGGAGGAGGAGGAGGGGTTGTATATGTTAGAAGTGTGACGGAAAAAAATGGTACCTGTGAGGAGGAGGAGGCTGGGCGGAGTGGCAGTGGAGTCCCCCTCCTTGGCTAGCAGCTTCATGGTCTGTGCTGTCTTCTCCAAACACTCCTCACTCTGCTCGCAGGGGGATGGGGACAAGGAGAAGACGAGGGGAAGACAAGGGAAAGGCATGGAGACGACAAGGGGAAACAGGGGGGCGACAAAGAGAAGCAGAGGGAACCACGACGGTGAATGACCAAGTCCAGCGTTCCAAGGGGGGGAACCAGGGTTCGGAGCCATGACTTTGTCACATTGTTTAGCGTATGAAAAAACGATGAGAAAGCAAGGGCATGCAGGGAACATGGGGGAAGCAAGGGGGTGGGTGGTTGAGCGAGAGGGAGAAGGGAAGCACCTCCACTTGCGAGAGGGTGTATAGCCTCCCTCCAGGCACTGCAAGTGGAGGTGCTCGCGAAGCGTTCTTGGGTTGTGAGACGCCGCACGCACACACAGCAACGTGTGGCATTCAAGAAGATCAGATGATGTGTCTCACTTGAAATGGCAAGACGCATGAATGGGCGCATGGGGATGCGCACGCACGCACCAGACAGACAGGGGGGTCCAGTCCACAACAACGACGCATAAGCTGGTTCCTGAGTCTACTCAGAGAAACGCACCAGGTAGGGCGGGTCGGCGACAACGACGTCGAAGCGGTGGTGCAGAGCAGCGGGCACGTCTAGGGGCGTGCGGTAGTCGTAGCGGGAGAAGCGCGGCGCAAAGGCTGCGAAGCGCCGGTCGTACTCCAGCAGATGCACGTCCATGGCGGGGTAGCGCCGCTGGTGGAGGAGGGGTGTGGGGGGGAAAGGCGGGGGGTGGGGGACATTGAAGGGCATGGGATCTTCATGCACGTGCACTCCAGCAAAAGCACTGTGTCTTACTCCACAGATGTATGTATAAACACATTCCCAGATGTGTCTTACTCTACATAAGATGCACTGTGCAGTGATGCGGGGCAGGAGGAGGAGCAGCAGCAACTGTAGCGCAACTCACGACTAGTTCACGGAACAGGGTCGGGCAAGCCACACAGCAACATCTGGGCCCTCCGCTGCCCACGCTACTCTCCCCCTCCCCCTCCCCATTCCCCCTCCCCTCCTTTCGTTCGACGCCCTTCCCTCCCCCCGCGCTTTCCCCGTCCGCTTCTTCCCGCGGTTTTTCCTCCGCCTCCTCTCCTTTCCCCTCCTCATCAGCACGCGCGCAAGCCGCGTCTCCGCCCATCAGCCGCGCCACTTCCGCCGCCACAGTCGCGGAAGTGTGCGCGTCGTACCAGAACTGGCTTAAACCCCAATCCTCCGCAAACAGCGCGTCTTCAGCCGCTTCCTGTCCCCCCGTTGTCCCCGCGCCTTCCCCATCGCGCGCAGTTCCGCCAGCCTCATCCCCGCCCGCGCGCCCCCCTTCCGCGGAGCCGGTTTCCGCCGCTTGCGCGGAAAGCGCGTGCTGGTGCTGCGCGGCGGCGGCTTGCGCGGAAAGGAAATCCTGCAGCGCCGCAAGAGTGGACGCGCTAAGCTCTTCCGCTAGAAGCGACGCGTCCACGCATGACGAGGACGGGGGGGACGGAGACGCGTCCCGCCCATCCTGCCCGTCCCTCCCGTCTCTTTCTCCCGTCGCGTCGTCAACTGTTTCTGTACGCACGGAAAATGCGGCTTTCGACTCGTCGTCGCCGACTCGTGTTGCCGCGAGTTGCGGCGCATTTTCAGGCTCCGGCTGGGACATGGGGGCTGTTGAAAGGTGATGATCACTTGTGGGTTGGGCAGGAAGTGCGGGAGCGAACGGAAAGTAATCAAGACGCAGTGTGCTCGTTTTTTTTTGTTTATTTACGACGGTAGTTCGACGGAGGAGGGCAATGGGGAGGGGTGCAACCACGGGATAATTTAATTTCACCGCTTTGTTAACATCTCAATCCCATTTCAATCGTTAGTTCTCAATCCCGAGCTTTCAGCCTTGTGTTTCTCCCAAAAACACCCCGTCCTGGAAATGCAACCACTCCTGCCCGATACAATATCCTCGAATCTTGTGTTTTCCTCGAATCGTTGGTGGGGCTACGATGAGATATTCCCCTTGAATTCGAATCCTGCCCGTTTTAAACCCTTCAATAAACCTGCGATCACGGGTCGCACGAGAAAACAAAGCAGATTCCTCATATTTGCTGCATTCGGTGGGCTGTCCTTTCATCGGTCGCGCGTCTTTCCGGTTTTTAGGTTCCTCGGATCAACCCTCACAGATCGTCCGCCGTCGCTCGGCGATAGGATCCATCGTCGCGCGCCGTCGCATGCCCACGTCGCAAGCAAACCTCTCTCACGAGTGATTGCTCTGATCCGATCCAATCGCGACGATCGCTGGAGTGACGTGGCAGCAGCGCATCCGCGTGTCCCTCGTGTTCCGAGGGCCTTTTTAGAAGCGTCTACCGCTCACCTTCTCACGCAGTCGACTAACTGCAAGCTCTCCTACCACCACCACCACCGCCGCCGCCGCCGCCGCCGCCACCACCACCACCACCACCACAGCCGCCACCACGACGATTTGTCCCTCCTGATCGTTCTGATCGTTCCTTCCTGCCACTCCGCGTTTCATCCCACCTCCCGTTTGGTTCCACCTTGTGTGTTATTCTATCCCCTAGCGCCCATCCCACTACCCATCATGCATCGACTTCCACGCCTCAGATCGTCCCTCTTCCGCCGCCGTTCCGCAGCAGCACTCCTCCGCGGGGGCCGCCAACAGCCCGCGCTGCAAGGGCAATCGCTACTCGCGCCGCGGCATTCCCTCACACAAGGGCAAGCACAGCCCCCGCCACAGGCGCAACCGCAGCCGCAACCGCAACCACAAGCGCATCCGCAAGCGCTGGTGCATGCGTTGTCGTTGGCGCGCGCGCACGTGCAGGCGGATCATGGCTCCTTGGCGCACTCCCCCTGGCGCGCGCAGCCCGCCGCGCTCATGCATCACGCTGCGCATGGCGCCGCCGCTGCTGCTGATGCTGCTTCCGCCGATGCTGCTTCCGCCGATACTGCTTCCGCCGATGCCGCTTCTAACGTTGCAGCTTCTAGCGGTGCGGAATCCGTTGTTGCTCCCCCAAAGGATGCCGCTCCCACCCATGCTGCTCCCACTAGCGCTGCCCCTACCAGGAGTGCGCCTGCTAACCCTTCTCCATACAACAGGGCTCCTTCTAACGGGGCTCCTTTCAACGGCGCTGCTGCTCCTAGCAGCAGAGCGGTTCCATACGGAGCGTCGTCCCACAATGCGCCGTTTGGTGGTGGGGGCGCTCGTGGTGGCGGTGACAGGGGTGGCGGTGGCGCATACTTCCAAACCCGACTCTTCGTGGGCGGTACGCGCCCACTCACTCGTTGTTTTCCCCATTCGGCCTTTCTCCTCTCTCTCATCCTCTTCTCCTTCTCACGCTGTTTCGTTCACCCCCTCCCCTCCCCCGCCCTTCCCTCCCCATCCACCCGCACCCCCATTTCCTTCCCCCCAGCCAGCCCCTTTTTTGGTCCCTCCTCCGTTAAATTAAACCAGCGGGCACCTCAAAACCCATTAGATTCACTAAACCCGTTCGTCTTCGTTCCCCTCCTTGCCCTTTTTCTTCTCTCCCTTCCCCCGGGGTTTCGCCACCACGTGTCCACCAGGCCTGGGCTATGAAGTGGATGAGAACACGCTCAAAGATGCCTTCAGCTCCTTCGGCCCTGTCCGCCATGGTATGATCTGATCTGATATGATGCCATGCTACCCTGCCATTTGAGTCGACTCAAAACTCCGCGTGTAATGAGTCGTGTTTTGAGTCAACTCAAAACTCGACTCAAAACTCGACTCAAAACACGATTCAAAGACGCCTTCAGCTCCTTCGGCCCCGTCCGCCATGGTATGATATGATCTGATAGCATGCTACCCCGCCATTCTTGCTTCCTGCTGCTGCCGCCGCCGCTTTTAATATCCGTTTCAGACATTTTCATATTTTCTAGTCGCCTCGGACCTTTTTTTTTCCATTTTCAAGTCGACTCGGTTTTTTGTTTGTTTTGGGGTCAACTGGTCTGCTATGGCACAACACCACTCATGCTGCCTGCTGCCTGCTGCCGCCTCTTGCATCACCTGCTGTCCAATTCTCCTTTGCATGCGGCTTTGAAGTTGCGTCATAAGGAAGGTCTTCCTTGCTGCGTTTGAGTCAATTCATTAGCAGCACCATCATTTTTAGGTTGATTGTTGATTGCGTCTACAAGCTCCTTACTGATAACCAACAGGTCAAGCGTCCTTTCTTCCTCTGCTTGCTGCTCCTAGTCCCTCTACTGTTCCTTGGCGTGTGTTTTTTCTTGACATGTGCCATTCCTTCTTCCGGCCACTGCCCCCCATTCTCTCCTCTCCTCTCCTCTCCTCTCCTCTCCTCTCCTCTCCTCTCCTCTCCTCTCCTCTCTCCTACACCTACGTCGCGCTGCACTGACTGCGTGCGATGAGCCGATCTTTCAAAGCTCCTCAAAACCCCGTCTACTTCGCCTACACATCACTCCCCTGGCTGCAGTGTCGGTCCCACGGCACGTGGACAGCAATCAGACCAAGGGGTACGGCTTCGTGGAGTTTGTCCGATCTGACGACGCCGATGCTGCTCAGAAGCATCTTGACGGCCAGGTGCATTCCCCGTCCCCTCAACGTTCCTTTTCAATGCTTGTGCTGCAGGTCTTGTGTTGTAGCTCTCTTATTTTTGCTCTCCTTCTGTAGTTCTCTTGCTGTTTATATTTTTCCTGTTTTTCTCTCTTGCTGTATCTCTCATTTTGAGGTACCGCAAAGGCCGTTTGTAAGACGCCCGAATATTTCCGAGGTGCCTAGAATCCGGTTCTCGGAGCCTCTCCACCCCTTCCCTTCCACACTCACATGTCCAGAGCCGCCTGATCCCTCCATCGTGTGCCTCCATCCCACCTTTTCACCCCTCCCTGCTCCTCCCCACCTGTTTGCACCGCTCAGCGCCTGGGCATGATGTTGCTGCGTGTGACCCGTGCCTCTCCTCGCACACAAGGAGGAGGGTGGGGGGGAGGAGGGGGTGGAGGTGGAGGAGCAGGACGAGGGGGAGGAGGCAGAGGAGGAGCAGGTGTAGGAGGGGAGCGAGGACGAGGGTGGGTAGGACCAGGTATAGCACAGGGGGGAGCAGGAGGAGCAAGGGTGAGTAGAGCAGGGGCAGCGGGGGCACAGGTGGAAGGATTGGGAACAGCTGGAGCAGCAGCAGTAGTAGGGAGCGACGCAGGGGGCAAAGCAACAGTTGGTGTAGCAGAGGGTTTACCATCAGAATCAGCAGCACCAGCAGCAGCACCAGCAGCAGCACCAGCAGCAGCACCAGCAGCTGCAGCAGCAGCACCAGCACCCGCCAGCAGTTGATGGGATGGAGTGTAGGTACTGGTACTAGGAAATGTTTAGTCCCGCCTCCCCATCATCACTGCTGTAGCAATAGTAGGCACAGTGATGTGAACTACGGTATCTTAGTTGACTTGACAAACCTTGCTGACGTTCACTGAAGCATTTACTATTGCAAAACACTCAGCAAATTAGCACACTCGCTACGTAGCCAATCTGCTCGCTACAAGGCTCCATCCATCCATCGTCACTGCATTGCAAGCAAGCCAACATGGGCCTGCTTTGTGAGTGTACTGTGCCCATGTGCTATGGTAAATTGGGGGGGGGGGGGGGGGGGGAGGGGAATGGAATAAGAAGACCTGAGCACATGATGTTGTAGTGTGTTCAGTCTCGATATGGAGAGCTACACTAGCACTGATAGGTTATGGTTGGTTCACATCACAACCAATTTGTGGGACTGGCATGAATGGGTGTTGCTTCTGCTGTCTATGTCTTAAGTTAGGCTAGGAACAAGTGTCGAGAGAGTTGTTTTAGTGAGTAGGAACAGTGGGATACAAGTCGACCTAGAGAATGTTGTACCCTTTAGAGGGCAACTCACTGTAGCCTAGATAACTAACATCTATAACATATAAACATTTGACACACCCCCATAGGCTAAGTGAGGGGCATCAAAGCAAGCAGGATGAACACACGGTCACAAGACCAGTCAAGACAAGAAGCAAGGCAAGCTCAGGGTGGATCTCAAGGACACCACACAAATTCTGAGCACAAGCAAGCGGCCACAAGGCCAGTTCAAGAGTTCACTATGATATATATAGGAAAACACAACAAGCAGAGCAAGCAACAAGTCTACAGCAACCGAGGGCCTACCTCAACAAGCCCCAACTGCACACAGAACCTGTGGTGGTCACCAAGCGCCAAGGCCTTGGTGAAGACGTCTGCAGTGTTGGCCTCTGAGGCCACAAAGTCCAGGCGTGCCTGACCGCGTCGTTGCAGCTCTCGCAGGAGGAAGTACCTCACGTCAATATGCTTCACTCTGCTCTCCAGTCGAGGCTCTCGACAGAGGAGAATCATGGCCTTGTTGTCAGCGTACAAGGTCGGTGCAGAGCGAGGCCGCTCACCAAGGTCGGCGAGCAAGAAGGTCAACCAGCGAAGCTCCTGTGCCGCCATGGCACCAGCGTAGATCTCTGCCTCTGCACTGGAAGTAGCCATAGACGACGACCGTGTAGACCTCCACGACACAGCACCAGCTCCCAGACTGAAGCAGTAGCCCTGAGTCGAACGCTGAGTCTCCACGTCGTCAGCGTAGGAAGAGTCGCAGTGACCAGTCAACGCCACTGGCTGAGTCCCTCCAAGCACAAGCCCCATGCCTAATGTAGTCGCCAGGT